AGAGAGACCAGCGTGGATGGAAAGTAAGTGGAAGGATAATATGACATTGAATTCTTACCCTTCTCTCTCTCTCTCTCTCTTCCCCCCCCCCTCTCTCTCTCTCTCTCTCTCTCCCCCTCCCTTTCTCAATCTCTTACTGTCTCTCTCTCTCTCTCACACACACTCTCTCTCTCTCTCTCTCTCCTCTCTCTCTCTTTCTTACTCTCTGTCTGTCTGTCTCTTTCTCTCTCCCTCTCTCTCTCTCTGTGTGTGGGTGTGTGAGTTTGTGTTTGTGTGTGTGTGTGTGTGTGTGTGTGTGTGTGTGTGTGTGTGTGTTGGTGTGTGTGTGGGTTCGCGCGCGAGCGCACGCATGCGTGTGTGGGTGTTATGTCTTTGGCCCAGAGCCATATATTCATTCTTTCATTAAGCTATTTGCAAGCGTATTTTTTTTCATGTATGCATTTTTATACAGATAAAGAGATAAGGAAAGTTGATAGCACGTTTATCTTTTTTTATTTCTTGCAACTACGAGGCGAGGACTGAAAACGAAAGCTCTCAATATTATCGCCAGGTCTCCTTATCTGAGAAACTCATTATTGGTCAATGTTCCCCTTACTGTCTTATTTTGTTCTACACCAAAACTGTGCTTATGTTTATATTTATAGACAGACAGACAGTCAGTCAGACAGACAGACAAGAGATTTTAGATCAATCCTTACAGTCAATTCATTCTTTTGTTTCAGCCTCCTAACCACCTCCTTCAATGACATTTGCTGATGCTGATTTTAGCGTCTAATCAACGAGATGAGAGTGCTGTTTCGCACTACCCCAGTTTCAACAGTTATTGAGCTCAGAAAATGCTTTTTGAACACCTTTCCAAAATACTTTGATGCCCTAGCCTCAATTTCTCAGGATTACCACAGCCTACTGCAATGGCATCGACATTCTTGAGCACATCACACGACAGTTCGAACATTGATAGGCACTAGAGGTGTAGGTATAGGGAGGAGCATATCGTGAGAGTGATAGTGAAGAGGAAACTTTAGATGAGGATTAACTTGCTCCTCACCCCATGGCCAAAAATAAAGTTTCACCAATGAAGAAAGATACAGAAGTAGATAATGACGGACATGCGCTTTTTTATTTTGCCTTTGAGAATCCACCATCAAATAAAGTGCCAGCAAAATTTACAAGGAAGTGCAAAAGCTATGGAGGATGAAACAATATTAGCAAAACCAGCGCAACACTGAGGTTTAAGCAGGATGCGCTGCGACGGAGATGCCAAATCTCATCTGATGCGCAAATTTTTATGGCATTTATGACTTTGAAATTGTAAAAGATGACTATATAAATCGCTTTAGCAAAAGTATGTTCTTGTTCTTGTAAGAGTTTTACGGCACTTGCAACACAATAAGGTCATATAAGTGCCGAAGATTAGAGATGTTACAAGAGAGTAACAAACATTAAAAAGAAGGAGGGGAGATACGGATGATAGATTTTTTATAGGAAAGAAGGAGCAAACCACACCAGAGCACCCGCCAAACACCCACAAACGTATGTTCAACGCCCTTCAGAGCTTCCAAAACACCAACAACGAATACCTGAACAGAAAACCCACGAAGATTGAAAAACAAAGCAGTTACAAATAACTGACAAAACCTGGACGTAACAATTACTTGTGTTCCATAGTTTTAATTTTGCATTTGTTCATGAGCTGTTGGTTTCTTATCGAGCTCAAAAACCCTTTTGCACATGTACCGTGTAAGATTTTGAACACAATTATCTGTCAGTGAGGAACAGAGGCCACGAAACTGTCACGATTTCGGGTGGTCTGGGGTGGATTGAACAGAGCCACTGAGCCACCCTTGTGAGAATCACCGGATGCCTTGGTTTAGTGGACTACATCGCGCAAGTGCTGGAACGTCATGTCTTGCCCTTATTTTCGTCATGATGTCATTCAAGTAGTCATCCCCATGCTAAACAAGGCATTTTCTCACAGGACCAATGCCATTAGAGCATTATTAAAAAACCAAATCAAGTCAACATTCGAGTGGTTACCAGTAAACAGCCCCGATGTGAATCCTACCGGTATGTGAAGTCCCATGAAACAGTGGCTGGAGAAAAACGACTTTTCCCCCAGTTCAGACCGTTTGTTTGCAACTCTCTGTGACATTTAAAATGAAATGACAGATAAATATGTCCAAAATTTCATAGAATTGATGCCCAAAGGTTTGTGCACAACTCAAAGCCAATGGTTCCTAAGCAAATTAACAATAAACACAATTAGTGTTGAGTCCAAGTTTTGTGCGGTATTTGTGATCTCTTTGTTTTCCGTTATGTTTGAAACTATCGCGACGAAATATCGTAATAAAACATTGTTTATTGCAAAGACAAAATTCTCCATTCACTGGGCATGCAATACATCGCCTTTCGATCAGTATTGACACTCTTCAGTAAATGCGCAAAGACAATTTTACGTTTCTTTGATTTCGCACAATTTTGCCAAGCCTGATTTTTTAAGGTCAATTTTGAGTGACCACATCTCGGGCGTCTCTTAAAAAAATAGATTAAATATTAATGTGTCAGATGATGAAGAATTTATTTAGCTTTAAAATGGTATGCTGCATGAGAGGGTAATGCAAGGCTTTCACATGATGAGTGGGTGATTACATTTTCACATTTCTTTTGGACGCAACTTACAGTAAGTTTTGCGCGTCAAAACTTTAAGGCCTTTTTTCTCAAAATGGGCTCTTTCAAGGGGGGTGGGAACGCAAAAAATCAATCATTAGAAAAGTTCTTAAGATATCTTAATAATTTTTGGTATACTGATAGATGAAACATTATTCTAGTGTAATAAGTAGTGAAGTAAAAAAACCATCTTGAATAAATGATTTTATTATAAATTTAATCCGTTGTTATGATCTGAGATTCTCCTGGTTAAAGTATTTCCCTAGTTTGGACCTCGATTCTGAAAAGGTTTGTCCTCCTACATCAAAAATACCAAGTCCATCCACTAAAACAGCCACATAAGGCTGCACAACCACTTATTGTAGTATTTTAGAATCATTTATAACCTTAGGATAGATTTTTTAGAAATGTGTACATTTTCTATATGTGGCCTTGCAATATGGCAGCAGTTACCATAGCAACACAAAAGAATTTTCAAATTTTTTCTTCAAGGCCCAATTCTCCACTCTACTTATATTGATGCCATCACATTTGTAAGCTTAGTTTCTTCTTTTTAACGAATTTGAAAATTTCCCCCGCATCATGCCTTAAAGTCAGTCTGTAGGAATGTGTTTGTCGTTGATCCCAAAAGAAGGGACAAGGATTCCTTCGCCAGGAGATACACCTTCTCGTTTCCTAGGAAGCCCACATGGCTAGGTAGCCAAGCAAACACGATACTTTTCCCGGTTTCAGTAAAAGCGTGTATTTTTTACTGTAACCTTTGAAGATCTATCTCTTTTTTTTTTTTTCATCATACCGCAAGGTGTTGCTCTATCTAGTATCAACTGCTTACAATTTCCACTCTCTTTTTATGCAACAAAATGAGCCCAATATGTTTTACACAAGCACTGAAGCAAAATATGCCCATTGAGGAAAATTCTCTTCTGAAATTTACAGCTTTCACTGCTATAAAATACCTTTTCTTTTCCTTTGTAGTTCAACCTTCAATTCTATACAAATTTCCAGCCAGTCATTGTTATTTACCCTCAGTAGTTTACCTTTACGCTTTAGACACCATTTTATTGACCCTGTAAGTGCTTGTCACCAGTGCAATTTTTGACACACAAATAACCCAATATGGCATCTTCAAACCAAAAGTAATAAACATGAGACACAATTCCTTGCACATTTCGAGTTTCTTTATTCATTTCTTAGTAAAAAAATTCTCTACATGCAATTGTCTATCTTTAACAATTGTCCTTAAACATTTTAGTAATGCACCCTAAAATCTTGGGTTTTGACATTTTCAAGCCAGTCCTGAGGGGAAAAATACCATTCCTCCCGGCAGAGCTGTTTGGATTTAAATGTTGGGAGCTCGAGAAGGGTCATTTCGAGTTAGAGATTTCATAGGGTGTTGTGGTTGGTTAGACTCAGGTGCTCCCCACCCACCACCGAGCCCAACAAGGGGACACACAGCTCTGATGACCAGAGCTGTGCCAGGGCTAACTCGAAGTTATACTTTCCACGAGAGTATACAAGACCGTCCTGCCAAGATTGACTCAGGGACTGTAAGGGTTTCAGCTCCCAACAGATTGAGTGGCATGGGCCGTGCCACCCTCCCGTCTAAGAGGAAAACCTCCACCAAAGAGGTGTGTTGGTGAGGGACAGTCCACAGACTAATCTCACCTCAACTCCAGGTACCTGGTTTCCCTCTGCAGGGGTCGCACCTCACGGTCAACGAGGTGCCCACTCTGTGGGATGGATGACCTCTAGTTTTGCTGCACATGAGGTCAGCGATGGAAGAAGAGATAAGAAAAGAGAAGAAAAAGGAAGGAGAAGAGGAAGATACATAAAAGTAGATGTCGCAGACGGATCCCAGAGGGTTGGGGTCCATGAGTAACACTCCGTAATTGGAGGAGTTTCACCTCCTGCAGACATGGCAGTGGGTTTATTTATAGTCATCCAACCCACGGGGTTGAATTTGGGTGAAACATCAGACAAAAAACTAAATAGAGACCCAAGAAAACTAAAAAGACCCAAGGGTCAAATTGGTACTCAGACTCTCAAATCGAAAGTAGATCCTACAGCCTTTGCCACAAAACTTAACAAGAACATTGGTATCGTGTGTATCCTGCCATTTCAGTTTTTGTTTTTAGATCTTCAAACAAATAACAGCAAGTGACTGTGAAGTATGAATGCTCCTGTTACATATGGTTATTTCGGATTGAATTCAAAATGTTTTCATGGATTTTTATAACTTATTGTGAAAACAGTCGGAATTTCCTGATGCAGTATAAATTTTACCTCTGACATCTGAAGGGTAGAGCTATTTTGTGTGGACAAGCTTTACATACCTGAGGGTGGCCACTGAGATCCAGAAAAGTTGAACGGCCTCGACCTGTCTCCAAAGGGATTCTTGCGCAAATCTCCCTTTAGTAAGAATGGAGCTCCATTATTTGCTGTGAATTTCAAAACGTATACATATACAGATGAAGATAAAATTCCAAAGTAATGCTTAATTACTAAAGACAAGGTTAAATTACAATGTCTTTCGCCGACCTGTAATGGAATGTGATATCAATAAAACAACTCTCAACCCATATAAAACAGTTAAAACAGTGTATCACAAAAATTTTAAGCAAAAAAAAAATGTACACTTAGGCGTTCCCTTTTTGTAGTGTGACATAAACCTCATGATAAGCTTTTGTTGTAACTTAATTTTAAGTGATGCCACAACAATTTGTAACCCTGTGGCTTATATTCAAGCCTCTGTGTAAGATTTAACTTTTGGCCGTGAGGGTTTACTCACTGCTCAAAACAAACACGTCTAGACCTGCATGTGAGCCTCAACCAGTTTGTCTGAAAATTTTGCGCAACCCCCCCCCCCCCAAGAGCTTTGGTGGGTGTCATAAGGAAGGACTTCTGAGTAACGAGCGACCACCCCAACAAACACAATAAAGAAGAGACCTAACCCTACCCCTAGGCCTACCTCAAAAAAGAAACTGCAACCGGCCTCATGTAAAAAGGCCAGCACAAGTCCAAAATGAAAAAATATTTAACCTAAAAAAAAAACCACACACTCTAAAACAAACAAGGTCAGGAGCATAATATGGCCTACATCTACATTGCTATAATAGGGTTTGAGACAAAATAACACAATAGAATTGGAATAGGAATTTTCCATATAGATCTAGACCTAGATTCTAAAAAAATAAATAATTCACGCACCTGATGAAATGCTTTTTACCAACATTAATATTACAGCACAACCTATGATAGGATTTGACACAATAGAATTGGAATATGAATCCTCCATTGAGGTCTATAATGATCTATAAATCTAGATCTAGTAGAACAAGTGAGTCGGACTTGAATGAATCCACATGATCTGAACAATTGAATTAGTCAACAAACGAAATTCAAAGTGGCCGGTCGAGCACGAAACTGAAAGTAGATAATTTAGGTCGTCGTCCTTTTCCGCATTTCTACTCGGGTTCTGATAATTTATTATGTCGGAACCGCCGTCGGCAGTCGGCACGAAAACGAAAGTGCCGACAAAGCCGACGGGAGAAAAAGGGGGTGCTGGCAGTCGACCAGGCCTCGCACTACGCACATTGACTATAATACAGGTGGGCCTTGCCATAGCATCGGCCGGCTCGCGGGTCGGGTCGCGATTGTCGGATTTCAGACGATTGTCGGCAAACATGCAGGTCTACACGTCAGTAGCTGTTCAGAGAGAATTTAAGTAGTTGCAGAAATTTTACTACTTAAAACTTACAGTATCATTGGCAACTTAAGTCGCCATGCCGTAGTATGCACTCACTACCGTTGGCGAGTTGCCGATGCCCCCAGGCTCACTAAATATAATTAAAGAATGAACGAACATACCGCACTGAAGTAAATACCAAAGGAAGTCATTCTAAATGAAAGATGAATGGTTGATGAAACTCTATGAATCTTTAAAGCATGTTTCTTGGGCTGCCAAAGTTTTTTTTTTTAATAAAAAAAAATTCTACTACGGCTTCATCGTTCTAAACTGGTGCGGTACTTGAGAGTTTTTCAATATATGAGCCTTCGGTTCTGTAAGTGTTAACTCACTCACCGCCACTGCCGCATCTGTGTAGGTCAATAGGCGATGACCGCTCACCGTCGCTACCACACCCCCGTCGGTCGCGTATTTTCCTCTTTATTTCTACTATTTGCTGACACATATGTGGCAATGGCATAGCCCAATTACTAGAGTAACATCCCTCTGACCACTCAGAGCAGTTTCACTTAATTAGAAAGATTTCCCTTGAAGTTCTGCCTATTTTTGGAATGGGAGTTCCCTTTGTCCTATTTCTGGGTTTTGTTTTAAACGTCGGCGGCCAAAGTCAAACAAACGCTAACGCGATGCTCATACCGATATGAATTGAAAATGGCTCTTAATTTTAGAGATTCTGAATCTATATGATTCAATTAACTCTGATTCAGATGAAGAAGTGCAAAATAATGGTAGCGATGGTAGTCTGAGATGAAAAGAAAGCGGTAGATCACCTGTCAGCAGTGGGCTAGTACTAATACTAGTACAAGAGTCTAGTACGGCGACTAATGATTCAAGCATCTAGCCAAAGTCATCATAAACTTATCAATTTAGTTTTCTTTGTTTTGTTATATATTTTTGTGTGAATTTTAGGACAGAAACAGAAACACTCTCACAAAGACAGCAAAAAAATATTGTACTGGCTAGTTTGGCCCCCAAAATTTGTCCTTTTTTAAAAAAGCTATAAAACAAAATAACATAGAGTCAAAATTCTTTCTGTTCTGTAAAGCTCAACATCTCTTACTGAAACTGGCCAATTTTCATAATAAATCTAACATAAATGGGTACACAGTAACTGGATTTTGAAAAAGGTAAAAAAAAAGCTGGCAGGCAGCGGCTGGGTCTGAGCAAAGGCGCAGGCAGAGAGTGAGTTAATAGCCAATATACAAGGAAAAGGCTAACCCCCCCAACCCCCAATACAAGAGAACCCTCTCACCCCCCTCCCCCCGCCTAACAGCAACCTTCTAGACTATTGCCTGAAGATAACAAATCTACCAGTGCTGAAGAGATTGTGATCAGGTTGATGAACTTACCATTTGCTCTGTGCTCTGGCATCCTTCTCCTAAGGACAGAAACATCAACAAAGAGGATCAGAATGAAGCTATTACTGGCAACAATAATAATAGGCATGTTAGACTCAATGATGATCTGGAAAAATATACAAATGAAAACACAATTTTATAAATCCGAGTGTGAACATTATTACAACAAAAGAAAATTATTTCTGTAACTCAGTTCAAGTTTTTTTAAAAGGTTTTACAGCGCTCGCAACTGCATAAGGTCATATGAGCGCCAGAAGATTAGAGGTGTTACAATAGAGCACCAAACATAAAAAAGAAGAAGGGGAGATAAGGACAATAGATGTTCGATAGGAAACAAGGAGCAAACCACACCAGAGCACCCTCCAACCACCCACTAACTTAGTTTGGATCAGGAAAATAATTATATTACAGCAGTCTCCGCCTAAGATCCCACCGCTTACGATCCCAGTTCGCTTTAGATCCTGCTGTTTTAAGAAAACAGAATTTTTACTATACAAAAGTCATCCCAAAGATCCCGCTCTTATTCACTCTGAAGGTCTAGGTCTATATTCGGATAAGATCCCGCATTTCTGATAACTTGCAGAACAAAAACGCGGGCAGGCACAGCCGACAAACCAAGAGGGAAAAATTGAAATCAATGAACTGCCCATCCTGTCAAAGATCAGCCACTCACGCGAGTGTGATCACATAAGCATTGTAAAACTCGATGAAGCGACACGTTTGCCCCAGACGGTATCACACTGAGGTATGAACTGACCGACGCTTATGTTTTCCACAAACATCGTGCTCGCATCTGACCTCTCCACCTAAACTTACATCACTTTGCTCCAGGCAGGATCACATCGAACTATGAACTCTTCCCTGACCATGGCAACAGTTTTGTCTATTCCCGAATTTGCATGACAGACTGAATTTTATTTGGTGTGGTCAAAACATAATGGTGCGTAACGACAAAGGCGGGGGAACTCGGTCAGAGATGGAAAGCTGTAAATTTTTGACAGGTAAAGGGGAGGGGCAACTGGATAAGCGTAGATCTTGAGATTTATGATAGGATAAGTGAAAATTGCATGCCTCATGCCACTTTGCACTGTGATCGGTCATCAAGGTTAACCACTCTATTTGCTCACTGTATGTCATAAACCCACCCAGGGGGCACGTCAGTTCATTTTAGAGTGGAGGGAGATCTACTTTGAATGAACTTTGATTAGGCCTACCGGCCTGTCCCTTACTCATGCCGTACACACACGATGCGAACTCGCACAGGTTCACTGACCGGTCACGATGACGGGCCTGACAATCTAGAAATCGGAGGACGCTCGTTTTCTTTTTCTTCCTTTTCTTTTGTCATTATAGTGACATCAGTGAGAATATGGATTCAATTTGTATGGCGATACTGTGTTTTTTTATGCACAAACTGCATGTTACAAATTTTATTAACTGTAAATCTAACGTTAACAAACTATCATTGGACAATTCTGAGCGGTAACGAAAGCGAAAATAGATTTTGATTTTCCCGACAGAGTCTCAGTATTAGACCTACACTTCCGCCTGCCGCCATATCCGCTTATTCGCGTGAAACGTACTCTCGGACTGGGGAAAGCTGAACGTAATATCAGAAACGCGACCGGTAAAATATGAACTCAGTAGCCCTTTCAGGTTTGGTTTCGAGGACTTTGTGTATTTTCTCGGGTCTCAGCAATTTTTTTTTTCAGATTCCCGGGTAATAATTCTCGCAGTCCCCCTGCGTAGAATCATCATTTGGTACTGACCAATTATTCTCTAGACCAAGACAGATTTTAGAAAGTTTTGCTTCGATACCGATTTTCTGTCTAAATTCACAATTCTGTTTTCTTGATAAATGAATTAAATGCACAGATTTTCCAGCCGCAGCAAAAATCCAAAGATAGACAGAAAGAAAGAATGAATGAAAGGAAGGAGGAAGATTCTCTATCATGAGTAGACAGATTTTAGCCGATATGCACGTGAAAAACTATTGCCGACCGACCGGCACAGATAGACAATGGTCGAGTGTACGAAATGCGCAATCTGGCAGTTTTTAATACAACTTAGTGCCGAGAGTTGCCATAAATATCTGACAAGTTACGGAGGCAAGTGCTGATCTCTCTCTCTCTCTAACGCACGCAGTTGATAATAATATGATGATGCGGCGAGTATGGAACTTTCGGAATGTACTGATTTCCGCAAAAACCAAGAAGAAGGGAAGCGCTGCATAATTTTTTTGTTCTTTTTCTTCTTTCGGCACCCATCGCAAATCCGGTAGTTTTGACACCTTATCGGAAGGTAGTGTCTACGTTCTCTAACATTAGAGAACGTATACAAGTTGTCTACATTCTCTACTGTTAATTAACACCATCTATCATTGAATCGAGATGACACCCCCCCCCCCCTTTTCATAATAATATGTTGTAGGCCTACACTTTTCACCCAAGGAAAGTGCACTCTGATGCCCCCCCCTAAAACTTTGAATAAGTCACTGAAGATCAGGCCGTCTGTAATTAGTATTTAGAAGATAGCTTGCAGTTTACATGCGATTTCGTATTCCCACCTCAACGCCAAGTTAGGCCTATGTGATACAACGTGAGAGACCATAAAAGATACCAAATTCACATGTGTGGAAAAATATTGCCGATTTGGTGTGTGATGTGACATCACTGTCATGAAATCAAATCACGTGGGTCAAGGTCAAGTCAGTCATATCAACGCTAGGTCTACGATAGGCCTAGATCTAGTGCATGAAATAACCCAATTCAATGAGAGGACTGGTGGTCCTATTTGACATCGATCTAACGACACAACATAATGTAAACCAATTTGAAAAGAAAAAAAGAAAATTTGAAAAGTAGCCTAGCCTTATCCGAAAGTTCAAATAGGGTCCTACAGGCCTAATATTGTTATTTTTTTTTATTCGTTAGAGAATGTAGACAGCTTGTATACATTCTCTAACGTTAGAGAACGTAGACACTTCCCTTATCGGTATGGCGGTAGAACAGGCCCAAAATCGGTATCTACCGGAAAAATTGGTAGATTTAGGCAGCCCTGCACTCAGTGCTTCCATCAGCTGAAGCTGAAAAGTAAGGAAAATTCTGCAGGGGGTCTGACAGCGGCCCAGCAGGGTCCAGGGACAGCGTCCCGGTGGGGGTTCAGGGGGCGAACCTTAGAAATTGAAATTTAGTGCTTTTAGAGGGTTGAAAATGGCATTTTGGAGCTTGTTTGAAGATATTGCCTTCAGCCCATAACATTTATTTTTTCTCCAACATTTTGTCTTGTTTGATTTCTTTACCAACATATCTTTCCATAGCTGGCAATGTTTAAAAGCAGGTTCCCCTTTCATTGCTTCTTTCAATTAATTTGTTGTCGCACCATTGATAGCAGGCAAACCTGGGAATAATGAATAGTTGCGCAGCGTATACCCAATTTTTCTCTCTCAACTTTCATGTCTGAATGTCGCCTGTCACAACCTCGGAACACCACTTCGAATTATTCTTGATTTTACCTACGGCTGGATCGGGCCAATCGCCCGACTCGATCACCTGAAAACAGAGACGTTTGTTTTTTAGGCGACCGAGTCGGGCGATCAGCCGATCCCATCCGTAGTGGGCACGCCCGTATCAGCATATTATTTCTTTCAACTTTCATCGCGGCCCTTAAATTGCGTTCATGTGCCGTAGAATCTTCGCATTGATAATTTCTCTGGATCTAGACAAATTTGCGAAAAAAAGTTTCTTTCTGACAGTAATTTTCTGTCTAAGATCAACTTGGGGCGAGTCAACTACTAAATGCGGCATCGATATTTCGGGAAATAGAGCTCCGAGTTCCTTCTGACAAAAAGTTCAACGGGTGCTTCCCGCGATAAAGGAGAAGACAGAGTAAGTTTTTAGAAAAATCCGGCACAACAGCAGACTGGGACAAAAAAATCGGGATACACGCGATCGAAATTGGGAAAATCGGGAAGCTTGAGATTTGGGGGAAAAAATCGGGATATCCCGACTAAATTGGGATGAGTGGCAGGTCTGGTATATCTGATCCACAATGCACCTAGAATCATTGCTGGAGTTTACAAAAAGACATTAAAAAAAGAACCCCATCAAAAACAATGAACGCACCTTTTCAGCCTCCACAGGCCAGTGCTCTCATCCAACAGTCCTTTCTTGCCTCCTCTTCTTCCTTTTGCTTTTGCCCGCTTTTCTTCTTCATCATCAGAAAAATCTCGACGCTGTTTTAAAATAAAACGGAAACAAACAAAAAATTCATTTAAAATATATAAGTAGCTTATGAGGGCAATTTAAAATTGAATTGATATTTTTACAAAGTTCAATAAAAACAAGCAATCCTGTGGACGAAACAAAAGGTTAAAAGTTTGCAAGTTCTGCCTTTAATTTACCCATTCCCCCATTCAGGAAAAAATGTAGATCTATTTTACAGTGGTAAGTGTGTTATTGTGTCCCTTGCTCTTATAAGGGTACCATTTTGATGTGATTCAAGTCATCTGAATACAGATGAAACAAGAGAAAGAAGTTTAAGAACAATCATAATCATAACATCAACTGAACACGGTAACACTCCTAGTAAGCTTTCAAATATGCATTTGCAAAGTCTGGGTCTGATCCCAAGTTTCACCAAGCAGTACATCACATCCATGAGAAAGGTACTTCAGCCCTCTATGTTCTCCAGTTCAACAGGTAGAAGGTTAGTAGGCTCACATGGTAGTAACGGAAATTTGTAGAGGCAGAAATACAAGAACAGAACCATTTAAGCACCTACATGACTGAACACTTCAAGTCCTTTGTGAGACTGAAATAGTAAATATAGGAATGAACACTTTATGCAAGGACTTTACTCGAGTTAAAGGAGTGAAACTTCCTTTAGAACAGGACACAAGAGGAGAAAAGCACCACTTTAACTTTTAAAATATTTCTATCACTTAAAACTAGAAAGTGTCAAGGGGGACGATATTTGTGTTTAGTAACAGCCCAAAGTGTATGTCTCAACATTCATTACACAAAAGAAGGAAATACAGAAGAGTTGAACTATTTTTTTCTTTATTATTAAAAGCTGCACTTACTTCAGCGGGTGGTTCATTATCATTTTCCCAAGATGCATCATCATACTTCCTACTGTTGATGAAAAAAACAAAAAAACATGTATACACAACATCAATCCATTATTTGCAAGATAACACTAAATTAATCAAATACTGTTGACACTACAGAAAATGTTACAAAATTATTTTTTTTCACAATATTCCTGTAAAATCAATTGACAGTAAAATCTTCAAAAACATTCTTAAGGTGACTTATTGCTCAGAGAAATAATTTCTGACAAATTTTCCACTTCTATACGCATAACTTAAAAAACCCTGCTAGGGCAGCGCTACCGACTGAAGTTGTCTTGAGGCCATTCCCAAAGGGGGGATATTAACATGTTCGTATGCACAGCAGAATTGTAAATGGGCTGATTTATCAATGTCTTGCTCATACTGAGCCTGAACAACATAGGGGGGACTGTTGCTTTTTCTTTCCTCATCCTTACTATCGCCATTTTTCCTATACTTCTTTTGTATGTTTGCCACTCTCTTGCGAACTGATGTCTCCTGGGTGCCTTCACCATGCAAAGGCAAAAACTTAGGAAAATATGCCGGGGGTATGGGGGCCGACCTCCACCAGGGTTCAGAGACAATGACCCTGGGGGGGGCTAGGGGGTGAAGCCCCTCAAAAATGTGAAAATTTGTACTTTTACAGGGTTGAAAATGGCATCAGGGAGCCAGTTTAAAGATTAGTCGAAAAGAAAGAAAAATGTTTTTTTGTCTTAGTGGGCCCAGTATCTATTTTATCAGATGAGGAATGTCAGCAGAACATGCCACCAAGAGTGTAGTTGGAAGCTCGTGTCTTCACATGATACTTATGTTTCCCTTGTTGACAATGTTTAAGCAAGTTTCCCTTTCCATTGCCACTATAATTCAATTTATCATCTCACATCCGGGAATATGTTGTTAGCGATCCAGTAGCATCTGAGCGTTAACTCTTCTGCATGATGCCATTCGGTAATAGCTGCATGTCTGTTGTAATTGTTGTTTTGAGGAGTAGAGGCAGTTAGATGTGTGGGGTAGCTTGGGAAGAAAACATCTCCTTAAATCAGTTAGTTTTCTACAGAAGAACAGATGATGTTCCACCGTCTCTGAGGGGTAGTCACATAGTGGGCAGGCAATATCAATCATGGCAATGCACTCACTCATGGTGTACTTTAATTTTCCTCCATTTTTGTGTTTGAATGTCACAACCTCGGAGCACCATTTCCATGACCACTTGTTCCTGATTTTTTGTATCAATTTCTTTCACAATGGCCTTATCTTGCTCACGTAGAATCCTCATACTGACAATGTTTCTAGCTCTAGCAGATAATTTAAATTGATTCCCTTTCATACGAGAATTTTATTTCTACTAGATCTAGATCTACATTCTCAAATTCAAATCGCTCATCATCTTTCTTAACCAACAGAAATTCCACCCACTGTTGATCTCTGAAGAATGAGATGTAAAGAATGAGTGAATACACGATAGTATGGTATAAGGAAGGCGAAAGATGTCACATAAACGAAGTCACATGAGTCCAAAGAGGTTATTGCGTGAAATTATATGAAATTCGCCATAGTGACAAGTAGCGACTAGCCAGATTATCACTGATTTGTAGGCTAAATAAAAATGTATTGCTGGCCAATCCGCAATAGAAGTTGTATAGAGAGACAATGGCTGAGTGAACGAAAGACGAAACCTGGCATGTTTTTTATGCTGAGTTTCTGTAAACATCCACACTTATCTTACGGAAGCACGTACGGACCAATTGTTACGGAAAATCGGTTTGACTTGCACTATCGACATTTTTTACAGATGGAGTTGGGATGGGCGAAGCGGCAAGTATGGAACCATAAAAAAGTATGGATTTCTGTAAAAATAAGGAAGAGTAGAAGAACGGCTTGATTTTTGAAGCAGACTTTGTGCTGTTGAGGCTAGATAGGTGAGCAAAGTAAGCCTCATTCCCCCGTTTGGACTTCTCTGTTGACATCCATCCCTTGGTACTCATGACTTTATGCAGTTGCGAGTGCCATAAAACCTTACTAATACAAAATAAAACTAAAACATAAAAAAAATGCAGATTAAGCGATTAAGAATGGCAAACTGGTTATCCCTAATCTGAGCTATCAACACTGATACTGACCTTTACAAAAATGCAGTAAAATATGAAGAGTACTGACAACATGCAGTGATACTAATGAAGGAGCAAATAGTTGTCTAAAGGTGGACAATCTACCATATGGAACAAAACAAATCTGTTGTACTCACCTCCTGAGTTCCTTAATGAAAATGAATTTAGTCAGATTATCAGCAGACGGGGCAAACATAATGGGGTCGCCAACTTTTATGTCTTTTTCCTTGATATCCTCTTTGCTGTTAAACCTCACAGAGTAGAATGGCTGTTCCACTGTTCCGAAAACTTCAAAAACCTGTTGAATAAATTCATAACAAAACACCCCCCTTTAACAGCAATATTATGGAAAAGTTCAGCATTGTATCAATTTCACATTGACAAGAAGTACAAATTAGTTTGTTCCATTTTTTTCTTTAACAAAGTCCAGAGAACGAGCTTAAATAAAACCAAAGAATTTCACATCTATTCTTTTTCATTTAGTAAGGAATGTAATCTGTTTCAACAATAAATCTCAGAGATTCTCTAAAAATGCTAAAATCTTAATAAGAAATTGCAATAAAGATGAATTTGTTAGGCCCTGCAGCAGTGGTAGATATTATGTTCACTTAAAACAAGCATGCGGAACAAACCCACTTTTATCCTCTGTCAAATGCTGTTATACCGCCAAGATCAGACATTGATCTTCAGAGCCCGCACAGAACACTTACACACCAACAAGCACATAAACAGAATCAACCCCATGTGGGAACCCCATTGCAGACACTGACTACCACGAGGAGACCGTTGAACATTTTCTCCTTCACTGCCCAAACCTGGCAGTTCTTCGACGCAAGCTCCTACACACACCTACAGACTTACAAAGCCTGCTCTACTCTGGCGTTGACCAGATGACAAGGACATGTGGTTACTTGAGGGAGGCATTGCGCTGCCAAGAGCGAAATGCTCGCAGCTAAAGGGATTTGAAACAACAACAACAAACTGGGGATCAAGGACTGGTAATGGATCTCATTTATATTTTGAGAAATGCCTTAGTGTCTCACACAGCTTCTCCCAATCAAGCCAACCATACCTACCCGTGAAGGTCCCTGTTTTCACCGACACAGCTTTGACGAATTATTCGGCGCAACAAGCCACCCTCCCCCCTTCCTAGAGAGGTTAAAACAACAGGATACGGGTAGGTGTGGCCCCACAAGGTGCAGGAGGCAGAACCCACCGATGTGTGGTAGACGCTATGCTCCTCACAACAACACCCCTACTCTCCCTTGAGTGGGTGTCTAATCTGCCTGACTACTCTTTTCAACACACCTTCTGTGGCTGAGAAAGAACCAGCCAGTTTTAGAATGTCTTTGCGGAAGGATGAAACGGGCAGAATGCCTGACTTGCCCTCTGGCCATGGACCTCTTGGTAAAGGTCCAACAACCCAGGACGTGACAATCCAATGGCTTTCCCACTTGGCTGAAACCTCATGCAAGAGTAGACAACTTTAGCCAGTAGTCATTGGTGGCGGGGAATGGGCAACGTGAACCCTATTGGAGCTACATGGTCACAGGGCAGTAAGATCTTTCAACCTCACGAAAACCCTTGTACCCTCCCATACTCAACATGCACGGCCTCTTCTCAGGGTGGGCAGGCAGTCCACAGACACCCCAGTCCTCAATACTGTCTACCTTGGGATGACGATAAAGTTGGTGGTACAACAATGTTTTAATGTCCTCCGTTAAATATCACCGACTGACATCTTGACTAGTGATTGACTGTTAGAGACTAGAAACAAACTGCGGCCAGCCTTGCCTCATCTAAATTTTTCTTGTGAGATTGCCATACGCAGAAGAAAAACAACTAGCAACTAATTACATCATGTACAACTCTAGCTGAAACTTTACTTAAAGAGATTTGACTGTACTAACACAAAGAAAAAGATCTTAATAAAGTGATTTAATCCATAAACACCATGTCAAGTGTTCTTCCATCTTTTCCTGGAAGTCTTGATGGTACATCTCACCTCTTTGGTAATATTTCACACACTCAAGTAAGAACAAAAAAACAAAAACCCAGCAGAAACGCACCAAGCAGAAATACCCCAAAAAGTGACACTTACCAGGCCAAGAGGTGCTCTTGTTTCAGAAAACAAAACTGTGTCATCGTACAGCGCCGGGGTATTGAGGTCAGCTTTCACAATGACTGCACAATACAAAAAAAAAACATTGGTAAATATTCTATGAAAGAGAACAGGGACTTTTGTTTTTGTCATTTCAAGCAAAACTAGAGGGACCTGTAATTGTCAAGAGGAGACAAATGAGGGCACAGTACAAGGAAAAAGTAAACTGAATAAAAAGAAAAATCATCAGCCTAATATAAGAATCAAATCTGTCCAAGACGATCACTCATTGTTGAGGAGAATAGTGGTCATCTTAGACAGGCGGTCCTTATGGGCAATGTCATTATAACAAACAAAAAAATAAGGGGGAAGTTGAAAGTGGTTATTCATACAGTTGGTTGTCTTGAGCAGTTGTTGTTAAAGTAGTATATATTGTAATATCATGGAAGAGTTACAGAAAAATCAAGATTTAAAACATATAGGCCTACTCAAGTATAGCAACAGAAAAGATGGGTCATGAGAAAGACAAGACACAGAAATAAAAACAGAACAACAAGTCTTAGCCACAATGTACAGTGTTACTTCTTGACTGAAATTTTTAAAAGCCTGATTTGATACAAATGGTATGAATGAAGGAAAAGACGCACTTCAGCTATGCTGCCCTTATGAGAAAGGTCAATAAATCATTATATAATTGTAATAAAGTAATTCTAAGAGAATATTCCCTTTCCTTTTTTGTCTTAAATTTTCATTATTCAAGGCACAGTTCACATTAGTCGCCAAAGCAGCTTAAGTCAGAAATTTCCTATGTCAATGCAATCTTTGGCTTTGCTGCCCTAACTCCTAACTTCTTCCCCCGCAAACAAACAATCCATGAACCAACAAAATGAGTATTGGAAAATTAGAAAAACGAAACCTGTAAAAGTACTACTGGCTCACTTCACATCAAGCTGAAAGAGCCAAACGTTTACTCCCCCCCCCCCCCCCAACATGAGTACCATCTGTTGATCACGATGACCCTATACCAGTTTTGAACTCATTTCAAATCAGCATTGGGCTTTAAATGCCCCTGATTAAACTCTGGAAATCTTTATTGACTACATGGCACATTTCGTATAGACATGTATCATTTTCCACGATGTATTGTAGAGAAAACAACATTTACATGATGCGGAGGAACTTGTTAAATTCTATTACCATCACTATATATTACTACTAGTATTACTACATACAAATCTGACAGCAAATATTCATGGGTGTAACCACCCGAGATACAGCACTTCCTTCAGGGCAGAGGGTCTCTATTTGTAATCACAAAAAAAAACAGGGGAAGGGATGGTGTGTTTTAAAGTTAAAGGTCCAGAAAAATACATGATAAAATACAAAAATCAACTTATCCTTGCTCATTGAAAAACACAAATAAAAATACCTAAAACCTCGACAATGCCAGAGACAACTCCAAGTGGTTGCAACTTAACCGTTTCATCAGGAGAGAGAGTGAGATACTCAAGAGGTGGCAATTCCTGAAAAGAAAAGAAAGAAAAAATTGTGAACACATTATAAAGAATGCTAGTATGTTTCATATTTGTTCATTGTGTTCCAGTCTCTTGTAATCAGAATTAATTGTAATTTCAGAAAGCTAAAATTGCTGTTCTCCCCTTAATATGAACCCTGCACTCCAAAGTAGCTTTTCTCATTCTTTTTTCCACAAAATTTTCCCCCCAAAATCAAACCCTCCCTAGTTAATGGAGCACTGGGAAAAAAGGTAAACCACACTCCCTGCCTAACCCTTATCCGTTATGACTTAGGCTTAGTGCACCAAAGCTCCCAGTCATCAAAATGCAGATAAAAGAAACTATAAAAGTGAACAATTGTCTACCAATAGCACTGAACTATCTAAATTTCAGCTTAACGTCCAGCAGTTCATGCAGTACTAGTACTATATCGTATATATATACGATGGCTGGTGATGAGGTATTTCGCCCGTAAAATACATTTACTCTATAAAGAAAGATTTTGTAAGGTATTTAAAACATTCATTAAAATTGATGGTTTTACTATAAAATTCTCGCTCTGAAATTTCCAGTTTCAAGGGCAATAACAGAGAATTTGTAGAATGCACAAGAACGGCCCTCATTTCTTTATTTTTCAACAGAATGAGTTGTCTTTTACACATTACATGCAGAATTGAATGTACTTTCTCATTAAATTAATGTAAACTCTAAATTTTACGATGTTTTTTTGTTCTACTTTGTGATTGTTGGGGTAGTCCGATTTCTGTTTCTGCATCTATTTTTAGTAACATGAAAAATATGTCACACCTCAAGAAAGCTTGAAAAATATGAAATCTATTGGCTAGGTCTGAAAGACCATCTAATTCCCTTTCCATTGGTATATAATATGTCTATCTGGAACAGATAGATTATTGCAGGAGGCTCATGAGCAAAAAGTTATAATATATGAAATTTCCGGATTCAAAGGCAATAACTAGGAATTGTAGGATGTACTAGAATGGCTCTCATTTCTTTATTTTCCAACAGAATGGTGTATCTTTGACACATAATATGCAGAACTGAATGCACTTTTCCATGACGTAATTGAAAACTCTACATTCTCAAACAATTTTTTTCCTCTTCTTTGTGACTGCTGGAAAAGTGTGACTTCTGTCTTTGTTTCTATTTTTAGTAACAAGAAAAAAAAGGTCCCATTTCAAGAGAGTTGACAAAAATTAAATCTATTGGCTACGTCTGAAAGACCATCTAATTCCCTTCCCATTGATATATAATATGTCTATCTGGAGTAGATAGATTATTGCATGGGGCTTGAGGGTATGGAGGAACGCCGTGAAATATAAATGAAAAAGCCAAAATAGGCAAAACTGCTGGGGGTAAATGTCATTCTACCATCACTGTGCAAAAAGTGGAAAACACTTTGAAGTTATGGTATAGTAGGCCTACCACTTTAGCAGAGGAGAGTCACACTTATCAGGCTTCCATTCATAATTCAAGTTCACTTTGATAGGTAATCAAATTGACATATATTTGATTCAGCATTTTCCATGCTGTAATGTTTTGAGCAAAATGACATTTACCTATTAAGAGAGAAGCTAGAAGCTCAAAGGAAAATAAGATGGATTTTTTTTCTTCGAGGGCACTATAATTCTCAGTAGTTGACAATTATTTCAACTAATTTGGAATAAGATAAAGGCATATATTTCAAATACCTTTTTTTCTTCAAATCAAGACACAGTTGTTTTTTTAACTGTCACATTTAGAAAGCAAAATGTATACACATAAAATTCAAAGCATTTCCTCACATTTTGTGACTTTACCTCTACTGACTGAACAAGTTATAAACCAAAATGCATTACCAAAAATTATGATGCTGTCGCTAAACCTTCAACCCAAAGGACGTGACTATTTTTACCACCTGTGCAGCAATCATACATCCAGAGCTGGTTGTAACGGTTACTTGTACTTACATTACAATTTTCGGTACTTTTACTGTACTCCGGTACATTTTGAGAATCAGTACTTTTACTCTACTCCGATACTTTTTATAAAAGTACTTTTGAGTATTTTTAAAGTACATTTTGAGTACTTTTGAAGCTTAATGAATGGGTAAGTGCCTGCATTTCTGATCATAATTTAGGGAACAAACACCCGGGCGGGCACAGCCAATCAACCAAGAGTTAAAACTTGAGATCAAAGAACGACCCGTCGCGTCAAAGATCAGCCACTCTCGTGAATGTGATCACAAGCGTTGTAAAACTCCATGAAACGGTACAATGTTTTCCCCAGACGGGATCACACCAAGGTGTGAACTGGCCGATGCGTTTCTTTTCCCCAACCATCGCACTTGCATCTGAGCTCCCCAACTAAACTTACATCACTGGCTGGGTGGGTAGGGCCTACAAGTTCGCTCGAGGCAGGATCACATTGAACTGTGAACTCTTCCCTGACCCTTGAAGGCAGTTTTTCTCTATTCCCGAATTTGCGAGACAGCCTGAATTTTAATTGGTGTGGTCACAACGTAATGGTGTGTAATGACAAAGACTCAATCAGAGATGGAAGGCTAAAATATTTGGACAGGTAAAGGGGAGGGGCAACTGGATAAACATAGATAAAGATCTCCAGACTCACGATAGGCTAATGATTGTATATGCATGCCTCATGCCATTGCGATTGGTCATCAAGGTTGACCACTCTTTGCTCGCCAAATGTCATAAACCCACACAGGGTCACTGTAGATTCTTCCTTGGCTTCGTCGGCTAAGATCCCGTATTTCCCTTGCTCCCGAGCACTGGGATCTTAGGCGGAGACTACCGTAGTAGAGAATCTTTGGTTACACTACACTTACTAGACTCTAGGAAACTACATGGTATTTTGGTTTGCCATGGGTGCCGTGGACTACACAGTGTGACCAAAATCTGTCTTACCACTATTATAATCAATTGAAACTGAAACAGAGTTCTCAATTTTTTAGGCTATCTAAATTTCTTTTAAAGTTTGTTTTGGGTGGTTTATGCTTAAGGCTACCTTGATTCCTTGAGGATTTGTTAATGAAAAATTCAAGGCATTTCCCCATTTCTTTGCTGGCCATTTTCATCAATTCTATGTTTTTTAAGAGCAACTTTGTCTCTACATTTTCCAATTTGGATACTTTTCCTACTTTCCGACCTCTTGGACTGACTTACATTTGATCACGTTGTCTTGCTCAAACAAGTTCTATTCATTATATCACCTACTCACGAGTTGCGTCTTTTGGTTTGTTGGTTCGTTTTTTTTCCAATTTCATGGACCTTTTCCACCTTAATTCAGTGCGTATATTCAAATGCTTTGTATACTGTTTACATTTTTAAGTAATAAATGGCCTAATTTGTCAAATATACTGGATATGTTATTTAATATGATGTTTTGCATTAGCACTGAAGTGTTTTAGCATATTAGCAGAAAGTACTCACAATGTACTCATAAGTACTTTTTAAGAAAGTACTTGTACTCAAGTACATTCTAAAGGAAAGTACTTTTACTGTACTTAAGTACAGATTTTAGATTGTACTTAAATTTGTACTTAAGTACATTTTAAAAAGTACTTTAACAGCTCTGCATACATCTCAGTGTACAGGGGTGTAAATTTAACAGTCGACCCACAGGCTCATGATTTTTCTTATTTTCAGTTTACTTTTTCCTAATGCTCTCATTTGTCTCCTCTTGACAATTACATGTTCCGGTTCATAAAATTTTAGCTTGATGTGACCATACAAAAATCTTTACACAGGTCTGATGGGCTCACTTAAGTGAAATATACAAATCACACATATATCATAATATATGTAGCTCATGTTTTCCTCTGATATCCTCAAATCACAAAGTGCTTTCAAAGTGAAGTCCTTTACCACAATCAAAACATCACAACACAAACACTCTGGACCATAGTCACCTAAAATCATGCTAATATGCCAACACAACATCTTTAACTACTCTTGGAAATTTGATTGGGGTAGTGCTTTTGTTGAAGTCAGATGTAGGCCTATATATTCAAGGTCCCCACCAAATCCTGGAAATTTTTTTAAAGACCCCAATCCAAGGGAAAATCAGGACACTGTGTGTCAAGAATGATCCCCCAAAAAGCCCATCTATCAATGATAAAAAGTCAAAATGTCTTTGAATGCAAATGTACATTTTGTAGTATAGTCTTCAAACAATAGATGATTATAATGCTGGGTGACTGCCAACCCAGCTTCTCAATTTTCCAAGGAAGGGGCCTCATCCATTTTCCAGGGGCATGTTACATAACAATGACAGCCCATGCTTCATTTATATCTAATATAATATATACGATATATGTATATGTTTGTGAATACACACACACACACATGTAGGTACAATATATCCAGTCAACAACATGTCAGTGTGGCACTGGGATCTTGTGTGACTTTGGTACTTCAGTCCTTTCTTACTTATTTATATTTTCTCCTCATCATATTATTAGCCTTAATAAACTATAGGCCCTATTAAAAATGAATCCAGTTTTGAGCCTGAGAAAAGACCTAGAACTAGAATATTGTCGATTGTCAATAACCAGTCTGGGTGTCATGATTCATATAATAAACGTCAAGACGAAAACTTTAGCTCAAACTCAAAGTAGAGTAATATTAGTGTAATAACTTGAATGGCTCAAGTAGACCTATTCAGTGCGAGAGGTGTAAGAACAGACTCTTACTGAAGGAGGGCAAGATGCAGTGACACTGAAAATCTGCCAATCTCGAACAGAAAGCTTAAATATAGATATAATAAATTACAATCACCCCATCCAATGAAACGCGAACACTTTAGTTCAATAACAAGGCATGACGGATCCCGATTCCACACAAGGTCTGCACCAATGCGCGCTTTGCAGAGAACTCTTATACAGTAGTAAGCTAGTTCTCAAAATCCTAAATACTAAAAATTTGCTTCCAAGTTAAGTTTTTGACCTCTAGCGTTGCCTTCAGCTCCCCCCCCCCCTTCCCTGAGTGTATCTTATTTTTAAAAAGCAATTCCGGAGTCCTATACTTCACAGCGCTCAGACCGCCGGTACACACACTCACAGGTTCATTGACCGGTCACGAAGGCGAACGTGACAAGACGCCTGTATAACTTTCTTTTCTTTTCTTTTTTCACAAGTGACAGCAGAGGACAAATTTTTAATATTGATTTATTTTCAAGGCGACACAGCCTTCGTAATGCACAACCTGCATGTTACAAAGGTTGCGTTGTCTGTCAGACTATTACCGGAAAATTTCTGGGTGGTAACGAAAGCGAAAAATATCTTGATTCTTCCCGATCGAGCGTCGGAGTCACACATAAACTTCAGCCTGCTGCCATAGTGGTTCAATTACATTTTCTCTTCATGATTCATCAACCATACTGTCTAGATAGCTACACTACTAATATTACACAGGCCCTATCCTTTCCCGACTTACCCACCCATCACAAATTCCCGACTTTTTCCCGACCCATCTCAAAATTCCTAACTTTTTCCCGATTTCCCGACCTGGTGGGGACCCTGTATATATGAACAATCATTAAAGTAGTTGGGGTTGTCATACCTCTGGAAAAATTTCTCCTTCTGTTCTACTTCTCTTTTTAATCATTAGAATCTGCAACGCTCTTTGCTTTTGCCTGTGAAAATAGAGTATGAGATTATAATTTGGGCATATAAGACATCATCTTTAATATAACTGACGAGATCCCCATTACCCCATTGTATTCGTAAAAATTTTAAAAGCAAACAAGACTATAAAAAAAGAAACAAAATAGCTTGGCTCTCTTAAAAAAATGAACCCGTTCAGCAAGAGTTTTACGGTACTTGCAACACAATAAGGTCATATAATTGCCAAAGATTAGAAGTGTGACAAGAGAGTAACAAACACAAGAAAGAAGGAGGGGAGATAGAAATGATAGAGGTTTGATAGGAAAGAAGAGAGAAACAAAGATACATGACAAAAGTGACAGACATTCTGAGATTGCACAAAAGTTGGCAAACATTTTGCTCAACACGTTGCACGGGGGCTCTCGTGGCCTAGAGGTTAAGGTGTTGGCCTCTCATTCAAAGGTCCCGGGTTCGAATCCGGGTAGTGACCGAAAAATTTTCTTCTCTAAAATTGTCTCCTTTCACCTCCTTTCCTGCTCTCTAGCAATGTTTTGTTGTCTGCTTTCATTTCCACTTTCTGCCCCCACCCCCTTTGCCCCCTCCTCTGGGCTCCTGACTCTTTCTGCAGCCTTTCTACTGCTACTCCTTGGCTCCTCCTCACTGCTGTCTTTCTGCCACACCTCTGATCTTCTGGTAGGAAAGATCTACACCTAGCCTTCTCGGACAAGGGCGAAAAATCTCGGAGGGCCCGTGTGCAAGTTGCGAACGTTAAAGATCCCTTGGTGGTCTAAAATCGATAAGAGTAGACTTCGGCCTCCACCTGGGCAAAATTCCAAATTTCCTACCAACTGAAAATATTAGGTGTGTCCCGCGCGCTCATATGACTATGCAGTTGCGAGCGCCGTAAAACACTTTACAAAAACAAAAACAAACACGTTGCACAAAATAAAGTATAACAAAACAACATACGCTGAACTGCTGAAAGTCGTTCTAAAAAATAAAAAATAAAAGGCAGTTGTACATCAAATATACAGATCAAAACTTACAGGTACTTGTCTTCATCATCGCTGACAACCTCATTTTCACTGCCTCCGTCATAATGTAACTGTTCTGGCACTTCGTTTGGAACAACATTATTATCGTTGCCAGAATTGTCATCAGTATCACTGTAAATAACTAATGGACCTTGATTTCTGTACATACTGATTGCTGCTTTTTCATACTCCATCATTTTCAATGGCTCTTGCTTCACTTGTACAGGAGAAAACTCATCATTGCCATTAGATTCAATAACATGTTCTTTGTCATTGAGAATAGTACTTTTCTCAAATGATTCTATTCCGTTCTCTGTTTTCAGGGTGATGGGTAAAGCATATTCCTGATTCTGCTGAGAGAGAGAGCTTTCAACAGGTGTCACCTCCTGATCTTCAACAATTACAACATTTTCACTTTCTGATGATTCAACATCCATATTCTTGTCATTTGCGTCTTTTATGCTGTTAGGCACATAATTTTTGTCATTCTGACGACTTGTTCTTAGGCTTACGTCATCAAATGAAGACATTTCTAGGCCTTGGGTTGTCGACTCAATCTCCACATTTCTTTCAATGCCATCAGTTATTTGAACATGGGCTACAGGTAAAGAGGTTTCAACATCTACTGACATGAATTGTGCTGACTGTGAAGATTCGTTTGCTGCAAGATGAATACTTTCATTTCGGTAAACATGGTCCTTGTTCACAGATAAATCACTTCTACTCTTCTCCACAAAATCTGTTGATGTTTCTGCAGGTGCATCTGAAACTGACTCATTGTCATGCAGTTGATGAACAGAGTTGTTTGTGGTAGAGATATTTTCATCATTAGATGCTTGAGGTAGTGTTTGGGTCTGGTCCGGGTTGGGGCACTTGTTAGCATAATTATCCAACAGAGTCTCTGGACCAGTCTCTGAATCAGAAGACTCTGACATAATGACAATGCTTGTGGAAAGATGACGTATTCAAAGGAGGACTCTACTGAATGTTCATCTCTGATGGAAGTTAACGTTGAGTACAATCAGATGAGGCTTGGCTACCCGTAGTTTTGTGCTGTGTATAATAAAAAGAAAAGGATACAAGAATTAGTTAAGTAGGCCTACATGGAGTACAAAAATATTTAGACTTAGAATACTAGATCACAAACTAATAAGTTGGTAATTTTCTAAGTTTGCAAGTTTATCCATAAAATAAAGGGAAACAAATCAAGGTGGCAGTTTGTGTAAGTGTTTGTGGAGTGTAGGTCAGTTCAACTGTGTAGGGCAGGGCCTGCATGTTAACAAGAGCGAGCGGACTGCGAATCTAAAGTCAAATCGTTTCCAGGGTCCGCTCCACAATTTTATTCACTGAGCAGGCGGGCGAACGGATGAACTCTAGCTGACATGGTCTCGACGCGAGGTTAGGCCTACTGTCTATTGTTTGTTAATTAGGTCTAATGTTTCAAGCCACTAGGGAGTGAGAGAGGCTGGTGACGTAGTACTATGTCTGTAACCTTTCACCTCGTGTATTCACATTGTGTTTACATTTCAATTATCACGAAAGCGAAGTTTAAAGAATTCCCACAGTAGGACTACCTGCCATGAATGCCTGGCCACAATGTGGAGCAGGAGGGTGCTTTTGGGGGGGGGGGTGTATGAGTAGTATGCAGCGGAAGGAGTCGCTCCCCGTCTGTCCGTTCGAATGCTTGGAGTCTCCGTCCACCCGCAAGTGAGGAGATGCAAGACAGAGAGTCAGATAGGATAAGGAAAAATTTGTTAGGTGAATTTTCTATAGTCCAGTGCTATGTCAATGGAGGCTTCGGAACGGAGTCTCCTCTGGTGTGTACTGTTGTTTGAGGATAGGGCAGCGGCGCCGGCAGCAGAGTCCGATTTAGAGCCATCTGTGAAGATTAGCTCCACACCAGGGTATTTTTCTAAGTTTTTTGTATTCTGCTGAAAATTTGTTGGTGTTTGTGCTTGCTTTGTTGTGTGTGGTGAGCTGAAAGCCACAACCTCCCTACTCAGTCCCTCCGGCCTTCATTGTTGACACACATGGGCTCTCCCATTCTTTGTTTCGTTAGATCACCAACAAGTTTCTCAACTGGCGAGGTTTTACATTATGTGTAATTTAAAAAATTGGCCTATGCACTGTGCACAGTAGCAGCAATATTCCGTTATAACTGACTCGCATGTTTGTCTGATTGCGTTATAGCAGTATTTTATTTGCAAAGATAAAGAAGAGAAAAAAACGGGGTATATCTTTATAAAAGACTTCTCGTTATTCCAGGACTCGTTAAAAGTGGACTCCACTGTATCGCAATTTGCGACCGAGAGCGATCCAGCAGAGGAAGGAGGAAAGTAGCAGGAAAAGCTAGACGAAGCGGTGTTTCCGTTATTTAGCGGAAAAGTGGCAGCTATGATAAGATTGCTTACTCCGGAATTGAACACAAGTCTTCTACGTGAGACAGCGGAGTGCCAAACCACTACACAACAGACACAGGTTGTTTAATTGTTGTGTATAACCACGTTATGTGTGTGTATGTGTGTAAATAGTTGTGTGTGTTCATATGCGAGTGTACGTGCATTTAGTTACTTGTTTAAAACTCTCTGTATAATGCAAAGCCAAGATATTATCATTGACTTGCTTTTAAACACGCTGAGGATTCTATGATTATTATGTCGCTATTTCCCATTCACCACAACAGGATAAAGCATCATGAAAGAAAATTAATAAGAAATTTTAAAAAGAAACTATGCCTCTTCTCCCTCATATTTATAGATTTATGTCTGATCCTTCTTTCACTATACCCAATTTTTATTCAGATATCAGAGAAAGGATTTGCAGTCATAAAAAATGGAGTCAAGTTCAAGGAGGTTTATCCAAAAACTGAGAAAGCTTCCACAATTCAGGCAGAACTACAATATTAATATGTAGAAACTATGACTACTAGTATTGGCGTTTCAAATAGCACGGGAGCTATTCAGAACGCGGCGTTGCGAATAGCGCCTGCCTATAATATAAGATCTAGAATCTAAATGTGCAAGACAAATGCATCACACAATTCAGCTAAATCTAAATCTACATGCAATACGGAAACTTTTTTAAAACTCTTTACTGCGTAAATTTGTACTTATGCACCCACACACAGATGCACTGATTTGAGGGCTAAACAGCCATAATTTTTGCTGTAGAACACACGTATGACTACTAAAACCCTGGCAAATCAATTGCCTTCAAGTAAATATCAATCCTAATTGCCAAAACATCAAATTATTGTGAAATGCAAGGGGGCATGCCCCCCTGAAACCCCCCTCAGATTCTTTGGCGCCTTTTTGGTAGTTCCCAGCCCGCAATTGCTATTCGCCGGTTTTGGCCCATAGAGCAGGGGGGTTTCAGGGGGGCTTGCCACCCTGCCCTAACAAAAATATGATGGGGTGGTTTCAGGGGGGGGAGGGGGGGGCAAGCCCCCCTGAATTTTACCATTATTTGATGTTTTGCAGTTGTTAGTTTTGATATATCTTAGCTCGTCGCGCATTAAACGTATAGATCTAGATGTAGACCTAGGCTCAAATAAAGGGGGTGGGAACTACCGAAAAAGCACCGATTCTTTTTAGGCCCTGAAACCCCCCATGTTGTTAAAATGAAGTCAAATATACTATTTTCAAATACCAAATACTTAATAACTATTGATTTGCAGCAAAAATGAAGGCCATATTCGTGTTCAGAATGCAAAATACTACTGGAAAAAAAGTATATATATAAAACTTGTACATGAGACGAGTGCATGAGTAAACAAAAACCCTGTACTGTTATAGATTTCTTCACAGGGCTCCCCTTTTCAGGCCAACTTAAGAGGTTTCTTCACCCTGTGGTTTTGTATCTTAACTCTTTTCCTACCAGGCCAAAATCCACCACTGGCCCAGGGCGTTTCCCTGACCTATTTTTACGCCCCTACCCCACCAGAGGAAAATGTCAAAACATCCAACTAAACACACACAAACCATATCATATGGCCCATCAAACTGAAGGTTAAAAAAATAATATATCAAATGGCGATACAATATTGAAGATTTATTCCAATTATATTAGTTTGGGGTTTCTAAAAGTGATTGTCAATATCGAAGGTGTCGAATGAAATCAACAATTTTCCAGCTTTGAAAGGTCAATTCCAAAAAAGTACAACAGCATCATTCAAACTTCCTAGGTAGGTTGCCTCAAGTAATGCAAAGAAAAGCTGAAAGTTATGTACCTAATAATTTAATAAAGAAGTGAAAATATTAAGATGCATTTCTTCTCATTTTTACGTTTCGAAGGGGACAAAAAAAAAAGCGCTGAAATGACTAAAAATCGTCTCTCAGTGCTATATTTTCTTTCGTATCTGCTAACAGGAAGTCTATTCAATTATTTTGAAATCGTGGAGCGGCTGAGAATTTCGTCTTTTCATTACTGGATTGGAATAGATAGCAAGCCACTCGAGCCGTATTTAGCGGCTCTCGGTCCAGCGAGGCCACGTCCGCTCCTGGTAGGGAAAGTGTTAAGGGGTATTTAAACCCTTGTTTTAGAAACTCAAAGGGTAAAAGTCAATTATCTCCTAATTTTATGGTAGGCCTTAGAATTTTTGCATGTAATCATTTAACTTACACGCACATTCACACAGACACACACAGAGTGACCATGACTACGATTGAATCCAAATGATTTTTAATTAACTGAAGGTTTCATTGTAAAAACAAGAAATATATCAGTAATATTGACTAGAATTAGAGTTGTGTCCATTTGGACGGGGGAAGGGTGGTGGAGGTTGGGCCAACCCAAAATAAAACAAAAGTTGACAAACCAAAAGGGCCCAATTCCGACTGTAATACACAAAGAAAATCAAACCTGCCACTCAAATCTAAAAGTCAGAATCTCAGTGGGAAAAAAAATCGGGATTTGGTTTTAAAAAATTGAGATCAACGACAAATCACCAAGGTCACTGCCAAGCTGTCTTGAAAATTTCCAGGAGTGTCATGGATACATATATGCACTTCCTCTGCGAGCGCGCATGCCTGTGTGTTTTATCTTTTTAAAAAAAATCCTAAAGTATCACATCAAGCTCTCCTAGTCCAAGTGTTTTACACCCCCCCCCCCGGATAAGTCCCAAAAGACGCTTCTACCAGTGTGCATGAACTTAAATTGATCCCGTCAACGGATGGTCCCCACCACACGCGGAACTCACGCGCCAAGTCATGTCACGTGATCGGAAAGCGCTATTGAAACAGTTTTACTGACAGGCCCGACAAACCAGAACTCGGACAAAGCTTATTTTGAAAGTAATAGCAGAAATACGAATAATATATTGATAATTTGTGTGTCGCAATTTGGAGAATTTTGAGTGGAAACAAAAGCGAAAGTAGATCTTGAGAATGTCCCTAGTCGGAATGCCAAATCAATACTACTTCCATTACAGTTGAAATAACAAAATCGGGAAAATCGGGATGCTTGAAATTTGGGGAAAAAAATCGGGATATCCCGATTAAATTGGGATGAGTGAAAGGTTCGGAAAATAAACAGATTCATTATCAGAGCTGTCACAGGGTCTACATTCTTGTCTTTCAAGACTTTCGATGGCGTACAATTCATGTTTACTAATGTGTTAAAGAAGGATGGGGGTAATCTCATCAAGGTCGTGGTAAACTCAAGGCACGACACCGGCAAATGCGAGCGACCAGAATGTGGGTGGAGCTTCTCTGCTCAAGTAAGCCGGTGTTGCCGGAAACTGTGCAGTTGATAAGTAGGTCGACTGCTTCTGACACAGAGTCACAGACAAAAGGTGCCCGCCGTGTGCGTGTAGTGTTGTCAAGTCATTGACTCGTCATCGGGGTAGAAAGGGGGGGAAAATTATGCTTGCCAGACGCACAACACCTACGTTTTAAAGAATATGTAAACCCCCGAAACGAAATTTTAAAGAGTAACGTTCAAGCACCACCAAAACTTAAAGGGGGCATCTGCAGGTTTAGTGCATAATATATGCACATTTGTGCATAATGGGGAGCCCTGCTTCCCTACTCTCTCCTTTTATTATTGAGTGGGGTGGATTTTTTTCAAAAGCAAGAAGGAAAAGGGATAAAAAATCTGAAATCAAGAGGATAAATCTGAAATATTTACATACCTGTATTGGCTAATAATTCTTCTAGATCTAGATCAGGACCTAATTTTTGCAGACCTAGATCTCGGCACTCCTATACAATTGCGGTCCCGTTAGTTCTAGCAATAAATCACACAAGCAAAGACTACTGGATATCGATACTGATTTAAAAATATTCAGTTTCAATGTTTTATCAGTAGATCTTGATCAGCCTACAAAACCGTAAACGAGCAGTAAAATTTCACTTGTGTGCATTTAACAAGGCAAGGGGGGTTTCAGGGGGCTTGCCCTCCCTGACCACCTAACAAAAACATGGGGGGTTTCAGGGGCCCATGAATTTGACCATAATTTGATGTTTTGCAATTAGATCTAGAATCTTGATCTAGATCTAATCTAGACTCTAGGTTTGATTGGCTTGGCTATCTCTCCATGCCATAGAGGCCTATCGGCACGCGAATCAAAAAGTAATCGTTGATGGGGTCAAAGCGAGTATCCCTTAACGGGACCGCAATTGTATAGGGATGCCTAGATCTCTAGCTCCTAAGTCTAAGGCTAGTATACTGTCTACCATGTTGATGTGAAAGAGTGACAGAATCAGAAGACGGAAGGACTTCCGTAACGAGCAACCACCCCAACAAACCTCTCTAGTGGATCACTACCTTGTTGTGGTTAGAGAGCTTGTGTGCCTCAGTGACCCCAAGAGCTACGCTGGCTGGAGCTAATGCTCCTGGTAGGGCCACCCATGCCAGACAGGTCGACGGGTAGAGGTCAGATGAAGCGTGATCTACCGGCCCTCCAGGTTTCGGAGGTTCAGCTCAGGGCTAATAACCCAGACTGGTAAAAAGCATATGTTACGGAAACAGCAACAAAGAGAAACCATATTTCTGTGTGTGATGGACCTTCAGAGTCCCTTGGGACTCGTATGAAAGCGGGCAGTGAAAGCCGCAAGGAAGCTGTTTGCAGGAAGATGGAGGACCTGAACACCGCAAAGACAAAAGTTATCATTGGACAGGAATGTAAGGACAACGTATGAAACTGGTAAGTCGGCACAAGTAACGGCAGAGATGAGGAGATATGGATTGCACATTCTGGGCATAAGTGAAAGCCACTGGACAGGATCCGGCAGACTGAGAACAGCAACTGGAGAAACACTGATCTATTCCGGCAGAGAAGACAACCAACATAGGGAACGTGTAGTTATCATCCTAAAAAGGGGACTTGAGAAATGCCTCATGGAGTGGAAACCGATCAACAGCAGAATGATGACACTGAGACTGAAGGGAAAGCACACCAACACAAGCATCATCCAATGTTACGTCCCTACTAACGACAGTGAAGATGAAAGCAAGGACTATTTTTATGAACAGCTACAGAGGGAATTGACAGGTATACCTCGTCACGACCTTATCGTTGTAATGGGCGATCTGAATGCTAAAGTAGGAGAGGACAACACCAACTTTGAGAGAATGATGGGACAACATGATACGGGTACAAGAAATGAGAACGGTGAAAGACTAGTGGACTTCTGCGCATTGAACAACTGGATGATCTATAGGCGGAACCCTCTTCCCACACTGCACAATCCACAAACTGACCTGGAATTCTCTATATGGCCTGGACAAGAACCAGATTGACCACCTTATGATAGGAGGAATGTGGAGATGTTCCCTACAGGATGTGAAAGTCAGAAGAGGAGCAGATGTCGGCAGTGATCACCATCTCGTGACGGCAAGGATAAAACTCAAGCTGAAGAAAACATTCACCAAGGAGACGACAAGGACATGATTTAATGTTCACAAGCTCAGTGATGGCAATGTGAGATCTGCCTTCCGACTAGAACTAAAGAACCGATTTCAAGCTCTCCAAGACCTGGAAGAAACCACCCCCAATACAGATGAAGTCAATACCCAATGGAAGCATATTGTTGAGGCCTTCACAGAAAGCAGTAAGACATGTCTTGGTGTCAAGGAAAAGAATGCAAACAAAGAATGGATACAGCAAGGAACTTGGAATACCATTGAAGAACGGAGAGAAATCAAGAAAAGACAGCTTGCAGCTAAATCGATACGGCTACAAGAGAAGTACGCAGAGGATTACAAGGAAGCTTGCCAGAAAGTTAAAAGACTGTTCAGGAAGGACAAAATAGAAGCCATGGAAAAGTTGGCAACTGAGGCAGAGGAGGCAGCTGCTAAAGGCGAACAAGGCAACGTATACAAGATCACAAGAATAATATGTGGCAAGTACCACAGTGGAATGAGTGGACCAATCAAAGACAAGGCTGGCAAGCTGCTGACAATCGAGAAGGAACAGGAAGCACGCTGGACAGAACACTTCAGGGAAGTCCTAAACCAACCTCCACCTGAGGACACCCCAGACATACAGGAAGCTACCTTGGATCTTGATATCAGCTCTGACCCACCACAGAAACACGAGATTGTAAAAGCTGTTAAGAGCATGAAAACAAGAAAATCTCCAGGAATGGACAACCTGAATGCTGAATTGTTTAAAGTAGACCCAGAACTGACTGCCACCATTCTTCAACCACTATTCAAAACCATATGGGAGGGAGAGCAGATTCTCGAGGACAGGAGCACTGGAGTCATTGTTAAAGTACCAAAGAAAGGAGCTCTTAGAGACTGCAACAACTGGAGAGGTATCACGTTGCTATCAGTTTCCAGCAAGATCCTGGCCAAGATTATTATTAATCGGATGTCGGATGCCGTAGACAGCTGCTTAAGAAAAGAACAGGCAGGATTCCGCAAAGAAAGAAGATGCACAGATCAGATATTTGCCCTCCGCGACATAATAGAACAGTGCATGGAATGGCAGAGACAACTTTATGTCAACTTCGTTGATTTTGAAAAAGCATTCGACAGTGTGCATAGAGAAAGTCTTTGGTACATTCTACGATCTTATGGAATCCCTTGCAAGATAGTGGAAGTCATCAAGAGCTTCTGCCAAAACTTCAAGTGCGTTGTTGGAAACAGTACCACTGCTTTTGAGGTAAAGACAGGAGTTAGACAAGGATGCAACATGTCAGCAATTCTGTTCAACTAGGCCATTGACTGGGTCATGAGGAAAACAACAGAGGATACACATCAAGAGGCATAAGGTGGACCCTCTTCTCCACCCTCGAGGATCTTGACTTTGCGGACGACATTGCACTACTCTCCCATACCAACCAGCACATGCAGGAAAAAAAAAACCGACTCCGCAAATACGGACGCCAGATTGGGTTAAAAATAAGCCAGAAGAAGACAAATGATGACACTGAATGTAGGCTACCCAACGCTGATTAGAGTGAACAACACAGACCTGCCTATAACGGACACATTTACCTACCTAGGTAGCATAATCAAAACTGACGGCAGCGCAAAGGAAGATATCATGAACAGACTCAGCAAGGCAAGATCTGTACACAGAAGCATGATCAACATCTGGAAGTCAGGACAGTTTAGTATATAAACCAAGTTAAATCTGTGTATAACAGCTGTACTATCCACACTCCTATATATATGGAGCTGAATGCTGGAGGATGACTGATCATGACCATGCCAAGCTATCTTCCTTTCATACAATCAACTTACGCCAAATCCTCAGAATTTTCTGGCCCGACAAGATATCTAGCGCAGATCTGTTACATAAATGTAGGCAAGAGGACATGACAACCATAATAAAAAGGAGAAGGTGGAGATGGATTGGACATGTTCTGAGAAGAGAACCAGACTCTATTGTGAAGACTGCCCTCCACTGGACACCCAAAGGACGTTGCAAAAGGGGCAGACCCAAAGTAACCTGGAGACGCACAGTAGAGTCTGAAATGAAGTCCTGGAATCATTTGTGGGGAACGCTGACCAAGATGGCCCAAAACAGACAGAGCTGGAGATCCTTTGTTGCTGCCCTAAACGCCAGATGGCATAATGGGTAGTAAGTAAGTACCCCTACAAACACAACAAGTCAAAGAAGAGACCACAGTAATTGTTTACTTTCTCGCGTTTAATTCCGGCCGCGCCTAGATCTAGTATGACTCTATGCTTCCGCTACAGGATATTCAAAACTTTGCGTTGGGATTAAGAATAGGTAAACCACGGCAATTTCATCATTTGTAGTTGTAGATCTAAATCTAAGTCTTGTAACATACTGGCTTTGGCTTTTTTTTTAGTCTAACGAAGCGTATACAGACCCAGTAACCGGGAACAAAGTCACGAAGTATACAGACCCGGTAGGGGAACTCTTTTGTGATTTCGGGAAGTTTCAGCCCCCAGACCCGGTAGAAATCTAGTGTGTGTGTGTGTGTGTGTGTGTGTGTGTGTGAGAGAGAGAGAGAGAGAGAGAGAGAGAGAGAGAGAGAGAGAGAGAGAGAGACTGCTCGATTGAAATTATGACATTGTTCTTTTCTTCAAATTGCGTCTTGCGATTCCTCCAACTCCAAAACGGAGGAAAAACGATCGTTAATCGAAAAGACATCCGCAATCTTCATTTAGATCTAGATCTAGGCTAGCCGCGAAACTAGATCAAAGATTTATGTCCGTCTGCCTAGATCTAGAAGAACCTAGGTCTACCCTGAGCCAAGAGGGTGCAGAAACTCTCCGAAATCACCAAAGAATTCACCTACCGGGTCTGTATACTTTGTGACTGTTCCCGGTTAGGGGGTCTGTATACACTCCCTTAGTCTAAAGTTTAGACCTTCCGTACTGATTTTGATGGCCATTGACATTCACAGAGTTCAGAGACATGCGATTGAACATAGAAAGACGCAAACTATTTTTAGGTACAGCGCCCATCTTGTTTGACGTTAGACCAGGATTCCCCTCCGATCACGTGACTACATCTAAGTATAGCCAACCGCATGGCACCAAAGATGGAAGAGTAAGAAAATTGCCGTAAAGACGCTGGAGGATTAGTTTAGATCTAGATCTAGATCTACCCCCCCCCCCCCCCGCATTCTTCATCACTAATATACATACATTAAAAAACAAATAAACTTCAAAGCAGCTCTAGAGCTACAAATTATAATTTATGGGACTGTTGGTCAGTCGCGAACCGCTCCTAAAAATCAATCATGCATGACTTCAAACGCAGACGCGCTGTCTATTCGGCCATCAGAACTTCCGAGAGCGCAGTGTAGATTAAGCGTAATAACTATAACAGTCTCACAGCAGACACTTCCATCTTTGGTGCCATGCGGTTGGCTATACTTAGATGTAGTCACGTGACGTGATCAAAAGGGAATCCTGGTGTGACGTCAAACAAGACGGGCGCCGTACCTAAAAATAGTTTGCGTCTTTCTACATTTAATCGCATGTGTTCAGAGTGGTCCCTCCCCGGGAATTAAACGCGAGAAAGTAAACAATACCGAGACCACAACTATAACCCAAACCCTACTCCTCTATTCTTTATAATAATTCTACTCTGTCTCATGGAGGCCATTCCTTACTGAAGTCCTCCCCAGAAGACTGTTAAAAATCTAGATCTAGATCTAGATATCTACTGTTGACAGTTGACATGACCAGTTCTGTAGTGACCAGGACTCATCAGTATCAGTATCAGGTTCCAGTACCGCAAGGCCTACAAATTGTAGATCTAAGCTTTAAAAAATCTTCAGACTAGAATCTAGATTTAATAATAAATCAGTGTGAATGCCTCGTTTAGCTCGACCAACACCAAATATTACAAAAGACTAGATTCCACGTCTACAACACTCTAGATAGTAGAATGTAGTACACTAGACCAAGCCTACAACCATGCTTGTTTACCATGCGCCACGCTTTGCTGCCTGGTTGCCGACTCTGACTGCTGACTGCTGTAGATCTACTATGCAGTGTGCACTAGCCTAGCCTAGTGTGCTGACAGACAGGCCAAGGGCCTTACATTGCTATCAACAGTTCTACTGTAGTCCTAGCAGTTTACGCAGGGATGAGTGGATGAGGGGAAGGTACTCCAACTAATTCGTTTCGCGCCAGCAAAGAAAGAATCGTTCGTCCTCAGGTGCCGGACGCCAGTGTGCCAGCAGACAATTTTGTTGTTGTTTTCTCTATGAAAAGGCCGGGTGATACTGAGAGAAAGAGAGAGAGAGAGAGAGAGAGAGAGTAGATTTAAATTTATGTGTACCTGGGTCCGGTTCTTCATTGAATTATATCCGAATCCTGATTCAACTAGGGCCACAGCATGATCTACAGTTCATCACCGCACCCCCAGAATAGATCTATAGGAGCCTATTTGAAAGAAGATTCACAAGCGACAGAGAGTCCTGCAAATGAGGGCGAAGGATCGCACACTTTGTGCGATCGTGCTCCAAGTGGCCTGGAGGATAACAACAAAAGATTCATTGTCAAGGCCCGCAACTTTGGAAGGCAATACGCTCATTTGTATGCTGTGAGACTTCTAGAAATGAGAAAGAAATTGACTGTTGCAGCCTCAAAAAAGTGGGGTAAGTAACTTAGTAAGCATCAATCACACGAAATACGGTCAAACATAAGACAAAATCGCAAGGGACAAAAAACAATAGTTATAGGGAGCCAGAAATAAATTACATTTATTTCAAACAGCGGAATTGGCGCTTTTTTGGTAGTTCCCACCCCGCAATTGTTAATTATATAGATCTAGATATTATATCTAGATCTATGTCAAAGTCAAGCGCCATAAATTGCCAATCAGCACGATCATAAGATGGCGCAGAACCATAGGACGATCCGCAGAAAGCGCGGCCATCTCGAGATGGGCGCGACGCGCCATCACACACAAACAAACAATTTTGCAAAGACGACTTTTGATTACATAGACCAGCATATAAACCTTGTTGAATCCGAATTCCACTGTATAGTCTATAATATAGATTATTTATTTATACGATATATATAGATCTAGTAGCCAACTGCATATGAACTGCTGGGAGTTAACTTAGAGGCTATCTGAAGTAATCCGTTGTCCATTGCTACCAGTGCTTGCATCTTGTAGGGATAGGACCACTGTTTGACCTAATATAAAAATAAATAGAATCGATTGAATTCCCTTTGCTGCCACCCTTAGCCCCACCCTTTTGTGTAGGCACGGGTTAAGTTCCAGATGCCACCTCTCACCTTTGCACAACAATTCAAGGAACTTTCTTTGTTAGCTAGCAGTATAATCAGGGCAGCAGGCATTGGTCAAAAGTCTTTGTGCTAGAGTGCCACTTGACCATTTTTTTTCACAAACACTAGATCTAGTGAGATTTCACACCCACACCACCCTGACTCTACACCTCTCAGGGCTCACATGCATTGGGTAACATTAAAACATCTACCCCCAAGACATACCCCTACTCCCCTTCCTCATTTAGTGGCATGACATAAAAGTTAGAGCCAATCTACCCAAACTTGATAGTTTTGTTTCATATTCAGAGCTGAATGGGCAAGCAAAGCATTTTCTGTCTCAGGTAAAAACCCACCGAAAGGAAGGAATTTCTTTCTGTCTCCATGTTAAATCTTCAGCTACTTGTTAATGTTAAGTCAGGTTTTCAGTTTCAAGGGGATTCTCAAATAGAAAAGAGAAGAAAAAGATAGCGATTTTATTTTGGTTCTTTTGCTGTTTCCGTATTTAACCTTGTTCTGTTTAAATGAAATACACTGTCTCTATTTTACTGTCCCCGTAGAATTTTATACAAATTTAGATGGCCAAATTATGCCCCAAAAATGCAAAATTATGCAAAAATTTTATGCAAGTTACCGTAACACCATTCGCGACATGTTTTGCACTTTTTCAACACGAATTTTCATGATTTTCATGTTTTATCCTCAGAAAAATTGAAAACAGAACATATCAGTATCAGTAATTTGTTGTGTATTTGGAAAGAAAACAATACACATCAGTCAGAAAAAAAACAGCCAAAAAATATAATCTCTGTAACTTTCAGCTGTAGATCTCAGGATCTAGATCTAGATCTATAGGGGAAAGAAAAATGTTTTTAAAAAAAATATTTAAAAAGGACATCTGGACCTCGGATGCTGGCACATTACGAAAACCAGGGAAACCTGTCAAACATGAAACTTCCGCAGACGTGAGAACAACTTTTGATGGATTGAAAAATTGAACATGCTCTAGGAACAAAATCCCAAGCCATAAAGCAAGATCTTTTAACAAGGGAAATAACCAACTTGTCACTTAAATGAGACTTATTAAGGTGATTACTTCGCTTTAGTCACATGGCGAGGCGTTAATTGTTTTTTGTAAAAAAGGGGGGGAAAACGCAGGGAATCCAAAATTATGCAAATGTTGTAGAATTACGCGAAAAAACGCGGCCGTACAATCGCATTATGCAACGGGTACAGATTTTACCTTAATTCGTTACTCATGCTCCTGTATTGTAAACTTCTTTTCTTGTTCTTTTTTATGCTACACTAATTTTGACTTTTAAAAATAATTATCTATCCATGCAAATCACAAATTTCTTGATTTTGAAATATTTAATGGCTTTTGTTGGAACTAAAATTTATGTGAAACCTTTAATTTTAATTGACTAGCAACATTCGGCGTGTTTTATAAATTTTGGGGGTGTCAGAGGGGCATTGCCGCCGCCCCGACCTAAAAGAGTTTAGAGAGTTTCGGGCCCACCCCCCATTATTTTATTTCCCTATTTTTTGTTTAGCCAAATCATGTTTGAGATTTTCCTGAAAACAATCGATTTGGCAATGACTCAAGTGATCATGTGTTCTTCAACTATATGGCGGTTTAGCCCCCTAAAGCAGTGCTTCTGTGTGCGGGAGAGAACGTGAAAATATTGTAATACTTTCTTTAAAAAAAAATTCTATATATGTGCATGCTTCACAACATAGTTGAAGAAGCAGTGCAAGTTTAGGGACCCCAAGTATATAATATATATATATTGTAATATGAATCTATTGTAAAAGTCATTTAAAGTGATTAATCTAGTCTGTGCTAAAATCACATAAAGTGTGTCAACATGATGGGTTTTAAAAATATATGATGTATACACTTTGATTTCAGGTTCAGAAATACCACAGCGAAAGCTACACAGTCTAAAGACTGATGAGCTCTGCATTGTGATTGGCACTCTGTTCAAGCATATGGAGCTCCAGCCAAGTATTCTTAAAGAGATAAGTGAAGAGGTATGTACAGGAAAAGCTAATAAAAAAGTAAAATATGCTACTTTACTAGTCCTGTCCAAACCTTTCTAAGACTTTACAGGAGCTATACCTTAAATTGCCTCTCCTTATTATTATTTTTTTCTATATTTGAAGTTTCGCAACAAATGTTTTTTTTCGGTTTTGAGAAAAATTTAGATTTTTGTTCTTCGTCACTTTACTGAATAATCTTGAGCAAATTTAGTTTAAGAGTAAAAAATGATGTCAGGCTTATTTGATATTCGGTAATTGATGAATTCTATGTCGGATTCTTATCCTTTAGATTGATGAGATTTCCGCACATTTTTGACAAAACGCAATTCATGTACTTTAGTACGCTAAGGAGGGGAAAGACCCGCTGCCAAACTTTTGTAGACCGCAAGCAAAGTCACGTTACTTAAGGAAAGAACTTTATTGGCATGCAGAAGATGTCGCGGTTTGTCAAAAAAGGTCTATCACTTTTGTTACAAAAAGCGTAACTTTCTTCTGTAGATCTTTTAAGAGGAAAAATTGTGCTTTGTGGAAAAAAAGTTGACCCTGGAATGTGTCACACCTTTCTAGATACGACGGTATTAGTTTTGCCAAACTTAAAAAGTGGCGTTTACAATTTTGTTGTGAAAGTGTTTATTTCTCCTTACTTAATGTCAGGGTCGGGAAATCGGGAAAAAGTCGGGAATTTTGAGATGGGTCGGGAGATCGGGAAAAAGTCGGGAATTTTGTGATGGGTGGGTAAGTCGGGAAAGGATATACCGGTAGGGCCTGTGTAATGTGTAGCTATCTAGACTGTATGGTTGATGAATCCGGAAGAGGAAACGTAATTCAACCGCTGTGGTGGAAGTGTATGTGTGACACCGAGGCTCGATCGGGAAGAATCAAGATCTGCTTTCGTTAACGCCCAGAAATTTTCCGGTAATAGTCTGATAGATAACGCAACATTTGTAACATGCAGGTTATGAATTATGAACGCTGTGTCGCCTTGAAAATAAATCAATATTAAAAATTGCCCTCTGCTGTCGCTTGTGGAAAAAAAAAAGAAAAAGAACTTAAACAACCGTCTTGACAGGTTCGCCCTCGTGACAGGTCAATGAACCTGTGAGTACTGGCGATCTGAGCGCTGTGAAGTATAGGACTCCTTTATAAGATACACACGTGGAAGGGGATTGGGGGGGGGGGGGGGCTGAAGGCAACGTTAGAGGACAAAAACTGAACTTGGAAGCAAATTTTTAGCATTTTGATAACTACTTTAGAGCTCTCTGCAAAGCGCGCGTTGGTGCAGGCCTTGTGTGGAATCAGGATCCGTCATGCCTTGTTATTGAACTAAAGTGTTCGCGTTTCATTGGATGGGGTGATTGTAATTTATATTTTTTTTTCCCTTTCTGTTCAAAAGATTGGCAGATTTTCAGTGTCCCCCTTTTTGGGGCAAGCCCGCCCCCCCCCCCCCCCCCCACCCCCCCCACACACACACCCCAGTTCTTGCACCTCTCACACTGAATAGGTGTACTTGAGCCATTCTAGTTATTACTAATATTACTCTTCTTTGAGTTGCAGCAATGGTTTTCGTCTTCACGTTTATTGTATGAATCATGACACCCAGACTGGTTATTGACAGTCGATATTCTAGTTCTAGGTCTTTTCTCAGGCTCAAAACAGGATTCATTTTTTTATATAGGGCCTATAGTTTGTTATGTAGGCTAATATGGTGAGGGGAAAATATAAATAAGTAAGAACAGACTGAAATACCAAAGTCTCTCAAGATCCCAGTGCCACACTGACATGTTGTTGACTGGATATAATGTACCTACATGTGTGTGTGTGTGTGTGTGTGTATTCACAAACATATACATTGTACATGTATTATATTAGAGATATAAATGGAGCACACGCTTTCATTGTTATGTAACGTGTTCCTGGAAAATGGATGAGGCCTCTCTCTTGGAAAATTGAGAAGCTGGGTTGGCAGTCACTCAGTATTATAGTCATCTATTGTTTGAAGACTATACTGCAAAATGTACATTTGCATTCATTTATAGACATTTTGACTTTTTATCATTGATAGATGGGCTTTTTGGGGGATCATTCTTGATGCGCAGCGGTCTGATTTTTCCCTTGAATTGGGGTCTTGAAAAATTTTTCCAGGATTTGGTGGGGACCCTGAATTTAGATTAGATAATATTTTCATCCGTCTTTTGCTTCATTTACAGAAAATTTAACATTATATATATAAATTTGTTAACTATGTTATTATGCTACATTTTATTTTCAGCACAACTTGTTGCCACAGCCCATTCAAAGTCGGTATACAAATGAAAACGATAAGCTCATTATTGAGGATGAGTTGCAACGGATTTTCTTAGTTGGGCATTTGGATTGTAAGACTTCAGTGACAGGTGCGTAATTAAAAAATAGGTGAGAATCAAGGTATGATATACTTTTGAGTTATAATTCAAGCTTTTTTTTAGAGGTGCCTTATTGTGAATGTGAGATGAATTGAGTTGACCTTTGGTTTGTAAATGTGTAAACAGGATGATTGCATCTGGTAAGATATGAAATGAAAAGTAAAGTAAAAACCTGATATATAAAACAAACTTCACAGATCCAGAGAATTTCTATGTTATAAGCAGATTTCATGTTCACTCGAGTGCTAATAGAAAGAACAAAAAAGTGGTGGTGAATGTTTCATTGCAGTAACCAGATCTAGAGTTACCAGTAATGAATGTTGCAATGGGCCTACATAGAAGAATTAGTGAGAACCCCCCCCCCCCCGAGGATTTGAAATCTTTGCATGTTATCAGGAATTTCATGTTAATTTGGCTTCATGATAAACTAAGTACTTGGAAACTGTGTTGTAAGTTTCTCCATTCTACACTTTGATTTTATAGTGTTGATGCTAATGGCTTGGGTTTTCTATTTGGCTGCTGTAGCTTTTATTGTTTTGTTGTACCTGTATGTATTTAGATTCCTTATTTCACATGTATTTTGTTTCAGGAACTGTTGTTGCTGTGTTAGGAAAAGAACCAGAAAATGAACGGGGTAAATTTTACGTTGAAGATTACTGTTTCCAGGATATGCCTGGTCAGATTCCACGTCCCATATGTGAGGAAGAAAGGTAATGTGAAAGATGTTGGTGATTATAAGATATTATAAAAATGATAAGGTCAAGGCCCTTTTAGTTTTTCTTTGAAAATCATATATATAAATATATATGCTTATGCTATCCATGCTATTGTATCTTTGCTGTGATGGAAATTTGAGATTAATAATGAATGAAGTTAACTTTTTCATACCGACAGATTCTGCAACTTTAGTGTGTTCACTATCAAAGGCTCATGCTGTTCACAAGTCTAAACTTCCACGGGGTCAAACCTGTCTGTCCTCAGAGAAATTCGCGCCCGCAACCCGCAAGTTGCGCGCGCAACTTTTGCCTTCAGCGCAACTTTTGCGCAACTTCTGCCATTTTCGTGATTTCGCGAATTTTAGCCAATTTCCCTCAAAATTTGAGAAAATAATAAAATTTCATTAAAATCGCCGAAATTTTCTTCCAAGACTAAAAATAACGACGCCAAGGGGGACAATTCGCTCCTTCACACTACAGGGTGCCCGCCGCCGCCCAGTGACCCGTACCGGGTCAGGTCGGGTCGGGATGATCTAGATCTAGAGTAAATCAATCGTAAACACGGTCATCTGATTACTTAGCTTGCTTGGTTCCGTAGCACCAGGTAGATACATCTAGATCTAGATTTAGTATAAAAATTTGTGAAAGATTTTAAATCTTAGGCAGGAGGCTAGATCTAGACATGGATCGATTCATTTGGGGGGGGGGGGGGGGGGGGGGATTTGAACCAATGTAAGATTACACTTTTGTAAGGTGAACAAATAATCAAGGAAAATATAATTTATGACAACGTAAGTTTTTTTTTTAATAACATAAAAAGAGAGTAACTACACTATTCACTTAATTAGAGTAAGTTCGAGCGGTAAGCACTGCATTGTGGCGATACAGTGGACTTTGAGCGGCAACCAGGATATATAATATGTCATCTCGCACTTTATACACTGGTCACTGGTAGATATCTGGGCTACATGACATGTAGATCTAGATCTAGTCTAATTTTGATTACTGTACACCGGAACGGTTAAAGTGGTAAAATGACACAGTAAGTTTTTCTGGAAAAGTTCCGCTTGTACCGTATTTAATTATTATGTCACATGTGTGTATGCATGTTTTTCATGAATACTATAATTAGTAATTTAAAAGTAAAGCGCATAGAAGAGTGATTCACTGATGTGCGCAATATAAATGTCATATTATTATTAAAAGCGAAAAACGTAATCATACCGGATTGAGGGGGGGGGGGGGAATTTTTAGTGTAAAAAAGTGTAGGATGGGGGGGGGGGGGGGGGCAAAAAGTCCCAAACAAAGTGTAAAATTATTATTTGAACAGCCCCAAAATCACGCTGATCACACCTGCCGAACGTAAGCGAGAGTTTGAGGACCTGACGCATGTGTCAGGGGACAAACTGTTTTGTACACCATGCAACCTGATCCATGCAGATTAAAAAAAAATTTTTTTTTTTGGGGGGGGGGGGGGTAGACATTCACATTTAACTTCTGATTTTGATCTAACAAAACTCATATTGGTTACTTTTGATTGCAATGAGCATAGCAACAATGTATTCCAATAGTTCTGTGGCATTGTTTCAGCTCTACAGGTCTGGCAACTTTTGCTAATTTTTCTTGCAACTTTTTGCAACTTTTGCTATTTTCAAATGCAACTTTCTCTGAGGACAGACCTGTATGTTGCCAAAACTGCAAGGGTGAAAGAGAAAAATTAAGCCTGAAACAGGTCTCAACTTAAGGCAGTTTTTTTTGTTTTGATGTGGGTCGTGAAGGAGAAAAGGTAAATGAAGAGGAAAATGAGTGTCAAAGGGTGAGTCAATAGTACAATGGTCACAGCAGATCACACCAGTTTTAGTGATAATAATTGATGACAGACAAAAATGGTTTCCTTGAAAGTTTTCTGGACCTATCACTAAATGGTGCATGCCTTCTTTGTTCCCATGTGTAGCCAAACTCATCATCATACCAGACACTTTCCCTTGTTCTCTGTCTTACACCTAACTCACTGCTGCCAGGATCTAGAGTGATTATAATCTATACAGCAGTGCCAGTTTGGTAACAGGATCAGGGCTATCTGGGTTCATGAAACCTATGCAGTAAGTGATTACATAAATCAAAGAGAGGTTTGAATCCCACTGGAGTATGAAATATCTGGCTTTCTCTCAATCAAAGGAATTGCACTTCTGTGCGAAAGTTTCAGCCTTTTCACTTTTCTCGATGATTGGCACTGCAATCGAAAACTCTCTTCCGAAGATTGGGTTTTGTTTGTTTTTCAATAGGATTCGAAGCTGCATTTTTTTCATCAGAATCTATGTCATGTGAAGAAATTTAGTGTTTAGTTAATGGAGTATTTTTGTAAATTGCCAACTGTAACATAATTTGAGCTTGAGAATTTTGACTCCTAAGTAAAGATTTCTTGTTTGTAGTCTGAGACATGGTAAAACAGGATGCTGATTGTTATGTCAAAAGCTTGTTTGCTTCATAGACAATTTATCCAACAAAAAGCTGATCAGTGAATTGATAATGATGACCCAGGGAGAATGGCAGTAGCGAAGTCGATGAGAGCCTTTGTCCTTTGCTTTTCAATAATAAATAGCTGTTATGATGTTAGTGTGCTTCTATTTGACTGAATTAAGCAAGTTTTAAAAAAATGAATAATTGATTAATCTTCTGCTTATTGAATAATGGCACAGGTATGTACTCTTTGCAAGTGGATTTGAGCTGGGTGGCCGTGAGGAACGCACCTTCCAGATGCAGCTGTTAGCAGACTTAGTGAGTGGTCAGCTTGGAGACCCTGAACAGCTGAAAGCTTCAGCTTCTATTTGCCACGTGGTCATAGCTGGAAACTCACTTAGTGAGTCTACACAGGATAAGGACTCACTCAGCAAGGTATAGAATTTTGAATAAGATGAAAGGGGAGGGGGCAACACTTTTGGCTTTGATACATTCACGATATTTTGGTGATTACAAGTCTTGATCTTTAAATTTCACAGTGTCTAAATGTGTGGAATATTCAGGGTCCCCACCGGGTCGGGAAATCGGGAAAAAGTCGGGAATTTTGAGATGGGTCGGTAAGTCGGGAAAGGATAGGGCCTGTGTAATGTGTAGCTGTCTAGACTGTATGGTTGATGAATCCTAAAGAGGAAACGTAATTGAACCGCTGTGATGGAAGTGTGTGTGACACCGAGGCTCGATCGGAAAGAATCAAGATCTGCTTTCGTTACCGTCTAGAAATTTTTCGGTAATAGTCTGATAGATAACGCAACATTTGTAACATGCAGGTTGTGCATTATGAACGCTGTGTCGCCTTGAAAATAAATCAATATTAAAAATTGCCCTCTGCTGTCGCTTGTAGAAAAAAAAAAAAGAAAAAGAAGTTATACATGGGTCTTGACAGGTTCGCCCTCGTGACCGGTCAATGAACCTGTGAGTACTGGCGGTCTGAGCGCTGTGAAGTATAGGACTGCTTTATAAGATACCGTGCACTCGTGGAAGGGGATTGGGGGGGGGGGGGGAGCTGAAGGCAACGGTCAGAGGGCAAAAGATGGAACTTGTAAGCAAATATTTAGCATTTTTGTTTTTACTTTGAGACTTTTTAAAACAGGCGGGTGGGTGCGGCCTCAAAGGGGAATCGGGTTCCTCCACCCCTTTTTTTACAAAAAAAGGGTTGGGGTTTCTTGGGGGGGGGTGATTGTAATTTATATCTATATTTTATTAGCTTTCTGTTCAAGATTGGTTCCAAGAATGGCGGTTTTTCAGGGTCCCTCTTTTTGGCCCCCCCCCCCCCCCCCCCCCCCCCCAAGTTCTTACACCTCTCACACTGAATAGGTGTACTTGAGCCATTCTAGTTATTACTCTACTTTGAGTTGCAGCAATTGTTTTCGTCTTCACGTTTATTATATGAATCAGGACACCCAGACTGGTCATTGACAGTCAATATTCTAGTTCTAGGTCTTTTCTCAGGCTCAAAACAGGATTCATTTTTTTTAATATAGGGCCTATAGTTTGTTATGTAGGCTAATATGATGAGGGGAAAATATAAATAAGTAAGAACAGACTGAAATACCAAAGTCTCTCAAGATCCCAGTGCCACACTGACATGTTGTTGACTGGATATAATGTACCTACATGTGTGTGTGTGTGTGTGTATTCACAAACATGTATACATGTATTATATTAGATATAAATGGAGCACACTCTTTCATTGTTATGTAACGTGTTCCTGGAAAATGGATGAGGCCCCTCCCTTGGAAAATTGAGAAGCTGGGTTGGCAGTCACCCAGTTTTATAGTCATCTATTGTTTGAAGACTATACTACAAAATGTACATTTGCATTCATTTATAGACATTTTGACTTTTTATCTTTAATAGATTGGCTTTTTTGGGGATCATTCTTGACGCGCAGCGGCCTGATTTTTCCCTCGAATTGGGGTCTTGACAAAATTTGGGGGTCTTGAAAATTTTTTCCAGGATTTGGTGGGGACCCTGAATATTACCATGCATGCTTTGAGCATATATATATTTGTGCGTTTCTTGAATAGGCAAGTAATATTAACAAACAGTTGTCTGCTCTTAGCCCGACTATGGTGTACTTTATGTTGCATCTTATTCAGAGAAGTTTCTCAGCCTTAAATCAGTAAGTGTTTTGTATAGGTGCATTTAAAAAAAAAAAAAAAAATTTATGGGGGTGGGAGTTCAATTTGAAATTGTCTCATTAAAATCTGATGAAGCACATGCATAATAGAAAAGACTTTATATAGGTCCTTTTAGGGGTTTAGTTTGTTTTTGGATGACAGGTACAGCAGATGCCTAAAGATAATCACAAACAGTTGCATATACATTGCTGAGCCATGCTGAGTCCTTGTTTGAAGTAAAGTTTATTGTATCTTTCTGAAGGATGCTTTTCCACTGAATCAGCTGATCCTGACTGGGGTTCCTTCTGTAAAATGCTCCTTTGTGTTTCTATAGTATGTCTGCTTTTTGGGGGATTTTGTGTGTGTGTGTGTGTGTGTTATGATTGAGCAAGTGATGATGGCTACTTTTGGCAATTTAAAAAATCATGGAGAATGTGGCTTTTTTATGTCCTCTGTTCCAGGCAAAATACTTGTCCAAGAAGACTTCAGCAGGCAGTGTAGATGCTGTAAAAGCACTGGACAACTTCCTAATGCAATTTGTGGTATGTTTGAGTTTCATGTCTCACCTCTAATATCCATGAAACCTTCAATCTGTTCGATACAACTATAGGAATCTGCTGCTGTGGTTGGGATTGAAGGGGTTAGGGGCGTGTCGATCTCACTTGCGTGGGCTATTCACAAAATCAGCTGCTTTCTGGACTTTGTCCTGATAAAAATCCTACTCTAAAATTATAGATGCAGAGTGTACTTTTTTGTGCAAAAGATATTTGTCTAGCTGTAGTAGTTGTAATGTGTTAATTTGATTATGAGAAAGGAGAAAAGTTCTTATTTAGATAATAGGGGTAGCAATTTATGACCCAAAAATGGGTCACCATTTTAAAAAGTGTGAACAGGCACTTCAAGTTCATTGTATGCACTGGCTTTGATGTATTTTATCATTTGCCTTTCATCCATGTGTTCTCTCTCTTCAGACCAGTGTAGACGTTTCTGTTGTGCCTGGAAGTTTTGATCCATCAAACTACACATTGCCTCAACAACCATTTCACCGCTGCATGTTACCAGAGTCTTCGAAGTTCAAAACCCTTCATTGTCAGCCCAACCCTTGCGACATTGCCATTGAAGGCACAAGGTAGTTTAATTTTGGCCGTGCGGCCAGTACTACTCGCCCGATGTCGGGTGACTAGCGCCAAGGCTACTCGCCCGATGTCGGGTGGCTAGCGTCAGGCTAGTGCTGGGCTACTCGCCCGATGTCGGAGAGGGGGGGGGGGGGGGTTGTTTTTAGAATGATTGATTCCTGTCGTTTTCTCTCTGCGTCGGTTCACAAGCTGACCCGGTGCAATACAGTCATTATTGTACACATTATGGCCAGACCTATCTTCATACATGACATGTATTATAATAATGTCAATTTGGTCAGATAATTGCTGTCAGAGTCAAACTTTCACCTAAGAAATGTAACCAGTAACAATCTGACTAGACTATTAGATCTGTAGAGATCTATGAGCCTTTCCTAAAAGTTTGTCTTTCTCATTGTGAGGTACTGTTCTCTTTGTAGATGTATTCAGGGAGAAAGAGAATGGAAATCCAAATATATTTGGTGTCAATAGATCCAGTGAATGCCACTGAGAAACTGGGAGAAGAGTTAGGTAGATGGGGAAAGTCGTTTTTAAAGAATAATATGAAAAAAAGGCCACATGTGTGACATGGCATGTAATAACTTAAGTTAAATAACACGAACCCCCACCAAACCTTATTTAGGCCACACATAATAGTCAAAATAACCAAACTTGTGTAGTTCTTGTGTAAATAGAATCAATAATGTAAGGTCCTTTTCCGTATATTGATCTCATAATCTGCAGTTAAAAACCTGTGCTGCGTGTACATTTCTGACTGAATCTATTAATAAATGTGTATTTTTTTCTTTTATTTTGACACATGGACTTTCCTCTACTTGATGCCACTCATACTCGTGGATGCATGCAATAACTTGAGGTAGAATAGAGAATAGAATAATGAGCTTGGCTTCAATCTTCAAACCGTTGTAGTTATAATATACTCTAACTTACGGCTTGGTCCACTTCGCCCAATGAATGTGTATCAAAAAGTTTGGCATCAATTTCATAGTTCTAGTTCACCCCTACTGAATGTAGGAGGCCGTTTAAAATAAGTTTTGTTTATTTCTCTTTAAAAAAAGAAAAACGGAGGGCGGTTTTTTTGGGGTTTTTTTCATTTTGTAGTAAGGGGGGAATCAACTTCGTTGAATGTGGATTCTTCACCCGTATTGTACGAAAAGGAGTGCTTAAACAATATATGAATATTAGGGTTGGGTCAGGCTTGCAAAATTAGCGTCCGCGAGTAACGAACTACTCGTTGGCACTACCCGCAAACTGTCTTAAGGTTCGCAATTCGCTCTCATGGCCGTCCGTTACCCGTTCGCTCTGACTGAGTCCCTGAGTAACGAACCCGTCCGTCCGCTCGCCCCAACTCTAATAAATATAAAACATAGGAGGCCTACAAGTATTCACGCCTTCACACTTCACACGCCAAATGTCAGAGTTGTACGGTCCTAAAGTAAATTTGCCACGCCATACCGACAGCAAACTGACTGCCAGAGGTACACACTGCACACGACACACAACACTCAACTTGACCATCTTTCTCCAAAGAGAGAGAGAGAGAGACAGTGACAGAGAGAGAGAGAGACCTGAATAGATTATAAATGGTTCACGTAGAAAGTAGCAAAATTTTGAAATTGTTTAACTCAGGTCTCTAAAACTTTGGAAAGTCTTTCCCACATATAATTCAGCTGCCATGTTGACCGATCCGAATCTTGACTTGGAGGACAAGGAGTGACCGAGTGAGTGACTGAATCTTGCGCGATTGATCACGCGAATTTTAAAGGAGCATGCGCAGAAATCCCCAAAGGCCAGAAGCCGCAGGCCAAGCGGGGCTAATCGACCGAATACGTTCGCGCGAAACATGGGTGCACTAGAAGTATTCTAAAATGTGAAGAATACTACCCCGGAGGTACAAAATGACCCCGGGGCGTACGGATAGGGTTAAGCTGAGGTAGAGAGTGGACCACAGAACACCAAAAGATTGGGCGAGTAGCCTGGCGCAAGTCACCCGACATCGGGCGAGTAGCCTGACGCTAGCCTCCCGACATTGGGCGAGTAGCCACTCTGTTTAATTTTTCTATGAGAAGACAAAATATCTGTTTTATGGGCTGAAAGATTTTTTTTTCGCTTTGAAAAATCTTTACATTTTGTTTCAAGGTATTCACTCTCAAGTGGCTGTAAAGCTAATGATCGAGATGCTGCCTTGGGAACTGTTTGAAAAAGAATGAATAAGGTGATAAAGAATGCGGTTTTTGTGTTGATATTTTCTTTTTAGGGAATGAGAGAGATGACTTTTTTATGAACGCCTAGTTTATAATGTCTGATACAGCATTCGTTTTGGTCCTGTAGATAAGCACTGCATGCCTTGTTCTATTGTTCTTTATATAACCCACTTTCATTTCCTGGAGAGGATTCAAACACCCTGCATGAAGAACCTGTGTCATATTGCAATCATGCTAGGAAACACTTGGTGAGTAGACAGCACAGTAACTATCATGAGATAAAAGCACTCTTTCTGTACATCAGACCATAACTTGCCATAAGTTGTTAAAAATAACCCTTCTGGAACATTAGTTACAATCAGTAACACATATTCAAATAATCATTCTAAAAATAGTAGATGCTCAATTTAGGGGCCCAGTCGTACAACTCACCCTGATGTTTTGCCCCAAATTTCAAGCATTCCGATTTCCCGATTTCAGTCGCGTCAAACCCTATTTTATTTGTTCCACCTGTTGCGCCAGATTTATCTAAAAACTTACTCTTGTCTTCTTTTCTGTCGCGAGAAGCATCTGATGAATTTTTTATCAGCAGGAACTCAGAGCACTAGTTTCCTAAATATTGGCAGGTTTTTAAAAAAAATATGATGATAAAACACTCACATGCGCATGCCTGCACATATAGACTTACACACACACACCACACGCACACAGAGGGCATATACAGTGGAACCTGCCCTGACGGCCACCTCTATAAGACTGCCTCCTGTAAAAACGGCCACTTTCCATTCCCCCCCTTGCGTTTTTTCTATATAATTTAACTGTGTAAAACGGGCACCTGTCCAATGCGGCCGTGGCCACCATATTTTAACACACAACCCCTATCACACCAAGCAATAACACCTGTCTTAGACAGCCACCATAGTGACTCCATTACGTTTTGTCATATATTGTGCATTGACCCCTGGCGATATGGCGAGCCGTCATAATCTAATCACCTGTCGTTGTTGTTAGGTAGTCCCTCCAACCGATCATGTTGCGTAGACCCCTCCCACTTTTGACCAATAGGTACCAATTTCCAGCTGCTGGTGAGGGAAGCGTGTGATCCCTCATAACCCATAAGCCCCGCCCAGAACTCATATGCAAATCGTAAGTGAGATGAGCGGTCACTGTTTACCCAGTCTGTAACAAAGTAACGATGGGCGTCAACATGAACTTGTCACAGAAGCGTCGCTCGTTCTCCAAGTGGTGGCGACCCATGTGTTTGTTTTACCATAGCACTCGGTCCTCCTTGTCTGACACAGATCGTTTTATTGTCACCCTAGCGCAAAATCAGCAACAAAATAAAAATAACAAACAAAATACAAACCAACAACAACAACAACAACAAAAACAGCAATGCGGCTACTTTCGATTGAGACCTCGGATGGGAATGGTTTGTTTTCTTCATCTTGATCAGTCCTGCCTAAGACGGCCACCTGTCTTATACGGCCACTTTTCTCCTTGACAATGGGTGGCCGTCTTACACAGGTTTGACTGTACATGTATATATACATAATATTTATGGACACCGTGAAAAATTTTCAAGTTAACTTGGTAGTCACCCTGATGATTTGCCGTTGATCTTGATTTCTTTCACCAGATCCCGTTTTTTATGCCTTGAGATCCTGATTTTCAGATTTCATAGGGGCAGGTCTGGGGGCCTTATCCCGTATGTTTTGAAGGGGAAAAATACTTTCAAGCTTCCAAATATTTTTTCAATCAATTGCTCTCAAATTTTCTCTTCTGATCACCTATTTGTTTTGAAACACCTGAATTCAAATCAGCTGCAGCATAAAATAATATTTTGTGTAAGAACAAGCCCGTTTGAGACCTGTAAAAATGCTGAGTGGGTTAAATGATGAATGTGTTGTTTCCTGGATCCTTTAGAGCGTGGTGTGTCAAAAGAGGTCATGCATAGTAGCTTCAGCTGCAATTTCACGAGATGGGCAGATATAAAATGTAACATCAGTACAAACACTATGCATTGCGAATCTGAATGAAACTTTTTGGTACACACACAAACTCAAGCAGACTTGGGATTAAAATTACCAGATAGTCTGAAGTTTTGGAAACATCAAAAAAATATTTTATTCTTTTTTGTATCTTTTTTTTCCCAGAGTCTTGGGTACAGCTGGGCAACCCCTTGATGACATCTGTCGATACAGTGACATTGATGATAGACTGCAGGCACTTGAGAAAACCTTGGAATGGGGTCATTTGGCTCCTACTGCCCCTGACACGCTAGGTAAATTCATTATGGCTGATTCTTCAATACAGTGGAACTCTGATTCAACGAGAGGAGATGGATTCCTCTTTTTTTCTTCTTTATAATCAATAAAAATAGCCCGAATTCAACGAGGTCGCTTCCAGGGTGAACAGCCTCCATAGACTTGGCTTCGCTCTTTTTTCTTCCACAACAAACTTTATTCCCCGAAACCATCCATTGCACCTGCATCGTGAACCATTATTCGCTTACCCGATTGCATGCGACCAATCAGCAGCCTTCTTTCATACTACCAACACACATGTTGTTGGCACACACACGTGTCTACTCTAGGCCTAGCGTGTGTCGGGGTCGGATCTCCAAGTACTGAGCTGTATCAATTGTACTTTCTTTTTGACATTGTCAGCTTGCTTTATATGCCTTAATCACACAGAACAGATGTAAGAGTAGACTGAGGAGTGAGAAAGAAAGCCCAAATGCCAGTGACCTCATTGAACACAACACATCAGGTTCCGTTCATGTGCTCAAATGTAGGGTCTATGTGAACTAGCTCCATGGAGACAATAGGCCATGACTAACCAAAGATTGTGTGACAGTACATTGGCTATCCTTGTGTCACTAGGCGTAAATGCAGTGTGTAGGCCTATTGATGTGTAATAGAAGTTGGCAAACAAATAGTACCCTGGCTATGCCTCTCTGTGGCCCACAATTGACTGTATTGACAAGCAATTTGGCTAATCAATAGTTTTTGTACAAAGACAAATAAGAAAAAAATTGGGGATTTATTTTCATTTCTGTTTAACCGCTGTTTTCGGATTAACCTTGTTTGGACACCACTGTTTATAAAAATGTTGTCCAGTTTCTATGACCGACGTGGAAAAAGTGAGCAAGTTGAAAATTGTTCATTTTCCTAGACACATTTGTACAATAGAAAGGTGATATTTATTTTAAATTAGATTTAGACTTTAACTGATGAAATCGTAAGATATGAAAATATACAAAAAGCTTATGCTCGATTATTTGTTTGCTTTCAGGCCATATTTAAAAAAAAAGTATTGTATGTCAATATGTAGCAGCCAAATTTAAAAAATGAACTATCCTTTTTTTTTACTTGTGTAACTTGTGTTCCATGGTCATTGCTGATGAATCTGCCTTTTAATTTGGGGGATTTGTTACTGTATAATAAGTTTTGTTTTCAAGTGTTATTTGTTGTTTGTAAGTAGCAAGGGATTATTTTCTGATGATAAAATACATTTGGTGGTGTCCTCGCCATGTATTGCAACTGTATTGATTTAGAAAGCAAAAAGAAAAAGTTCTTGCAAGTATTGTGAGTTTTGTTTCAAGCAAACAGAATCAATGCGGGATGAACTTCTGTGTCAATTAATATCTTCTGTAATTGTTTAAGACTATATCAAAGTTGAAGGCTACTCTCTTGTTCAAATTCTAAAGTGTTTTTCTATAACATGAATTGTTTATGCTTCAGGCTGCTATCCATTTATGGACAAGGATCCCTTCATCCTGTCTGAATGCCCTCACATTTACTTTGCTGGTTGCCAGCCGGAGTTCAAAAGTAAAGTTGTGAAAGGTTTGTATACATTAGCTTTGGATACCTTTTTTTTTCACAAAGGGCACTAGGGTGGGGGCGGGATCACATACGAGTAAATCTTGTATCCTGTCGAATGGAATTCTCATCTTATTTTACAATAACATTGTTGGTCCGTTAACCTCTTTGTTACCTTCAGACGTGTATGGTATACTGCGAAAATAAGCAATTTTTGGCTTTGTGTCATACCATGGACGTTGGCAAAATTGGTTTGCATTGCAAGCGATAGATACACAACAGGTCTCGCTTGTCTTGCAGATGAAAGCATGCTCCCACAAAACTTTAAGTCCAATGTGTGTGAAAAAAGGAAGTGAATTTGACTTTTTTAAACTTAAATTTGCAAGTTGTTCAAAGTTATGCATAATATGGGGATGAGGAAGGTGACACTGTCAAAAACTTGGGGTCGAATACGATATCATAAATAGGCCAGAACCAGACAGCAAGTCCACTGAGACTGATGAAACTGCTGCCCGGACTTACAAAGCTTAGCTGGAAATCAATGCTGATACAGTGGAAATTCTAATATAACAGGGGTGTTGAGAACAGACAAAAAGTCCTGTTATATCAGAAATGCAAGGGAAGTAAGCATTTGTGGACTAATCCAGTGGTATTTATTCATGGGTAGTTTCCCTTGCCACAAGTTCCCACGAACGGGTTTTGGACTAGGTAATAATTATTGCATGTTAGGGGTTTTTTGTTTGTTTTTTTTCTTTTTTTTAAATATTTTAAAATAAGAGACACAAAGGGGAAACAGTTGGCTTCAGGCATATATATATATGCCCCTCTCTCGTGGTCATGTGGCAGGCCTGCGCGTGACACATTACGCTCGAGTAGCTAGGATTAGGGCTAGATCGAAGTCTGCAGCACACCGCAGCCCTCTCGCGCTTCGCCTGCTACGTTTACTTACAGTGGCGTGGCTTGCGTGGGCTTGCTCCATCACTGCGTTTCTCTCTCTCTCTCTCTTTCTCTCTCTCTCTCTCTCTCTCTCTCTCTCTCTCTCTCTCTCTCTCTCTCTTTCTCTCTCTATCTCTCTCTCCCTCTCTCTCTATCTCTCTCTCTTCCTTTTTACTCATTGTTAACGAGCCTTTGTCCCTGTCATTGCAGATAACTTTTAATAGAGAAAAGGTAGGAAAATATGGGGATTTAAAAAATCACTGTTGTCACCGGATTCCTGTTATTTCCGTGCCTGTTATGTATGGTTTCCACTGTAGTAGGAATGCACACCCCTTTGCAGTGATGGGGTTAAAGTTAATGAATTTCCTTTCTAAAAAGGGCGTACAATGTTTGAGTCTGTTCAGAGGTTCCACGCTACGGTATCTGAAAAGTTGCATCGCTTTGTTTTCCATCTGAAATCTCAATTTCTATATCCTTTGTTTTTTAAAAAGTTTTTTTAGAAACATATTAAGCCAATGCATGTAATTGTGATTTTGTGTTGACAAAAGTGAGATGACATGTAAATCTAACAGGACTCCCATCAGCCGTTACAAAAGTGTTTTAGTAGTAGGCCTATGTTCTCATACATTGAACATGTCAAGGGAAGACATGTTATTTTATTTTCTTAATTTTACATCTTTTAAGTCCTTTATTTTGTTTTATCTCTATAGGGCCAGCGAATCAAGAGGTCCTGTTACTGACGGTCCCCCGTTTCAGCCAAACAGGGACAGCTGTGCTGGTCAATGTCAGATCAATGGAAGCTTTGCCCATCAGCTTTTATGGTCATTTTCCTATTGTTGATGAAAGTGTCAGCCCGGAGGTAGATAAGTGATGTAGATTACAAGTTACAATCCAGGATTCAGGCTTTTATTTGCCTCAATACTGTACAAATCATTGTTTCAGCCTTTATTGATACACATTCAGCTTATAGTTTTTCAGCAAGTTAAAGGAAAAGTTGCACGATTGAACAGCTCCATAGATGTCCTCAACTTAAATAAAACGGGGAAAATTTCTGATAAAATTCACGAGCAATGAGTTTAGTATATTTTATAATGTGAGAAAGTCTACTGGATACTAATTTTTCAACTTACTTGCTAGAAGTCTTCAAGGAGAAAGTGTCAGCTGGGGTTTTAACGTACACAGATAGTTTCGTAGTTTTTACTTTCATTGGACGTGAAATATGTTGAGTTTGCACCAATGTATTTCCAGACAATGTCAGGAAATGGGAATAGACAATTATTTTTCTATCATCGTTGTGGTAGTAATTGCTGTACCTACCATATGTTCCGCAAACCAGTTTTTCCACCTGTTGTGTCAGGGTTCACCTACTCCTGTACGTTGGTGTGCAGCTGGACCAATAATTGTAAAAAGGATTACTTTGTAATTGTTTTTGCATAATCTCCCTTTCCAACACCATATGTGTCAAGAATGAACACAACTGTCCGTCTCATTGGTCATTGTATAGATTTGACACCCTTCTTGACACTACATGTTATTTAAGAGGCAGGACCTCCAAAGTTAACGTTCATCTCTGATAGAACCAAACAAATTGCTCTAGAGCTTTAAAAAACTCCCCAAACAGCCCATGTTCAAAGAACCAACGTGGAGATTCATTTGCTTGGAAGCCAGCATGATACCAACTGAGCTACAGATGCGCCCATGGCCTATCTGAATGTTCCACGAGATCTTACAGGTTAATATCTTTTGCTTATGTGTGTTCGGCTGTAGGTTAGTACATAACTTTCTGAATAAAATGTTTTATGATTCAGGGACTTGACAGGAATTGACAGTAGCTGGATTTTTAAAAATATTCAGCATTTGTCACTAAGTAGGCAATATGAACAAAATGCAGTTTTGTTGTCTTGCATAATGCTCAATGAAAATTATAAATCAAATAGTACGGGTGAAATTTAGCGAGAGAAACAGAGAATTGTGTTTTGTAGTTTTCTGCTTCACAACTGACTTCTTGGATGCTGATTTGTGTTTTGTTAATGCCTTTATCATTGTTTTGCTTGAAGTTACAATTAAAAGTTTTCTAAGAGAGGGAGAAGTCAGACAGAAATTTTAGGACCTACAGTGTTTCCAGTTTTCGCAAATGTTCCACATGTGAATTAAAACTCGCCTTACTTGGTCCTGTGTACAAACACCTAATGACTCTTTTTGGAGAATCATGCCCATTTCTCTCACTCAGGTTTTGTTTGACAGGTTAGTAGAAGCTCTGAGCATTTTGTGAGTTATTAGTTCTCCTTCTCTTGTCTCTCAAAGGTTTTTACTCTTGAAAATATTTTCAGGGTCAGCTTTGTAACCATCACACGTTTTTTTGTTTTTTTTACAGTGGTATGCTGTGGTTTGTTTCCATAACAATAGTGTAAGACATAGTAACACAACTATGTCTTTTTATCTGTGTTAACTCCCTTTTGTCTGAACATGGTTACCTGGTTTGTTGTTGGTGGCAGTCAATTTTGTCTTCGTCATCGGACCTATGTGTTATGGTTATATAGTATAAATACATATGTACATTTGCATCAATGTTGACGTAACATTTATCATTTGGGGAGGGGGCGTGTTACTCAGCGTCTGGTTTTGCATGGTCATATTCCAGCCAAAATAACCTATGATGTGTTATTTGACTTCTTTGATATTTTTGTTTCTAATGTATGAATAAAATGATTGTATACCATCATCTCTTTGTCTTTGTATGTACAATTGTTCTGAAATGGACAAGTAAAATGGGCTTTTCTTTTCATTTTTTTCTTTTTGGTTTACTCATATTTTGCTAATTGCATTTTGTATATTATTTTATTTTGTATTAGTATGTGCCCCATTTCGTAACGATGTGTAAGCGTGCGCTAAGCAAGTAGATATGTGTGTGCACATGTGTGCGTGAGTGTGTGTGCGTGAATATTGTTCGTACATACATTTATGTAAAGCGCCTAGAGCTGTGTTCACATGGTAGTGGGCGCTATAGAAATGATCTACATTATTATTATTATAATAAACGAACTTATATCCCAGTCTGCCTACCTGCTTACAAAGCACTTAAACTAAAAGACACTTTTTCTAGGGCGTAGTGGACTTAGGAACACTATAGAAGAAAGGAGAAGTCTCAATGTGCTATGTTTTATTTATATTGGTGAAAGGGAAGTTCATTCAGGGCTCTTTATTGACAAATGGATTGGTGAATCTTTAAAGAATTTCTCTCCTGGACAGATGATCTCAATAAGCAAATTGTTTTCACTAAGCCGAGTTCTATCGTGCATTGGTCAATTCAATACATTTGTACATGTGTCATGTTTGACAGGCCAGAGAGTAAAGAAGTGCTGGCAAACTTGTAAGAGAAAAATGGTCCATTGTGGAAAGTTGTGCCTCGGCTTGATCATAGATGCACTAGAGAAAGATGTTGAAAACAAAGCTTATAATAAGGATAAAAATAATATGACATATTTTATATTGCGCCGCAAATCCGTGAAACAATCGTCGTTCTATGCGCCTTGCATAATATTCATGAAAAACATGCATACACACATACATGCTCATAATAATATATACTCTAAAAAATAATAAGTGTCACGACATGGTGGGATCAGGCGCTCGTCAGTTTTGAGGCATACGGCGTTATTGATATCATCTTAAAAGCCTGTCCATTTGCCTTTCTTTTGATGCAAACGATTTTCATCTGTGCTGAATAGAACTTTAGAAGTCGAAATATTTACGTTTGAAGGAGGTGTGGGTCGTCTGATTTCAGAGGTAAATTAAGTGTGAAAACGGCCGCTAAAGTTTGATAACTTCAATAGCTTGAGAGCCTTTAAAACTGAAAAATCACATATTTTGTGCATTTTCTGTAAAATTCGCATGGAAATGTGTTATTATATGGACGTAAAAGGTGTTTAGCGGAAAAAAAAATTCTGTAAAAATTCCCAAACCTGCGGAAAAATGCCAGTTTTTTCACTTTCATTATTTTGATGAGCTCCTGATTTCACCGCGGTGCCTCACAAGAGTAAATCATTCAAGCAAAATGTTGCATACACTCTTTCTTACTAATACTAATAAGGAAAAAATTGAGACTCATGCCAATGACAAAAGCGCCTTAATTACAAATAAAACAAGTTACAGTGGAATTCTGATAAAGTCAAAACTCAGGACAGAAAAAAATGTTGACTTTGAGCAAAGTTGACTTACTGGCCATTGATAATTGAAGATGACAAGTAGGCCTACCTTGTAATAAACAAGATGTAATCTCAATTTCAAGGAGTATGAGGGGCATATCAAAAGTTTACACTGAAGGAATAAAGGTAGAAAGCTGAAATTTGGGGTGAAGGCCAACAATCATCTTCCTGGAATGCTTGTAAATTTGGGGGAATTTCAGATTACTGGTTTTAACACCGGCACTTTGTACGTGAATGGGGGTATGTTGTTCACCAGTTTCAACATAAAAATGGAGAAAATTGAACGCAGGGCAGTAATGAAGTTTTTGTTCTTGCAAGGCAAGCAATTACAGGATACTGTTTATGGAGAGCATTGCCGTTTATGAAGCTGATTGCCCATCCTACGCTGTGATAAAATTTTGATGTACAAAAAGTGATGATGAGGTCAAAGAAGCGGTAGAGGGCTTGTTTTCTGACATAGAGAGGGTCCTCTATTCTCAAGGTCATACACCAATGGTAAACATGTATAATTCTGGGAGGCGACTACATAAAGAAAGACTAAGCTTAGTACCAAATTTCAGCATTCCTTCATGGTCAGGGGGGAAAAAAACTTTTGGTATACCCCTCGTATAATTCTGAAGATGTCTCCAAAACAAGAGATAATGAAAGAACAAAGTAATTGGAGGTGTGTACACCACTAGCTCAGGCGAAATATCTCTTCTTAAATGAATTCATTTTGGGATTTAGCCCCAAATTGTTGACTTTACTCAAGCTTAACACCCAAGCGTTTGACTGTATCAGAAACACAATTAGATCTACTTAAAATTACTTAAACAAAGAAGGTAAAAAACGGGACCACAGTGCGATGTTGACTGTAACTGTAAGCAAGAGTTGACTTTTAAGCAAGTTGACTATCAGGATTCCCCTGTATCTGAATTATTACTGATCATTATGCTAAAAACAAAAAGTGAAATTAGTTATCATCAACAAAGGCAGTGTTCATCAGCATGTCAAAAATATTCTTTCACCTCACAAAAGTGTAATATTACATTAGTTCAAGACACCCCCCCCCCTTTCTTACACTTTTCTTGCAGGAGCCAAAGACCCCTCCTCCCAGGCGTAAGATTATATTTGAACGGCCAGGCTTGGAACATCTCGCTTTCACTCTATGGCAAACGAGACAGAGTAACTTACAGGTACCGGTATTTGAAAAAACCTGAACAGGTGGGTGATGGGGAAGCACCATAGGATTAATACATGTACTTGTATTTGTATGGATTTAAAAAAAATTAGAACATCCGAGCATAGGAATGAATGGCGAACCGTATTCGCCGATATCTGTTTAAGAATTGGAACTTTCTGATTGTGATGTTGACTGGTCGACAATGAAAAAAGCTTAGCAATATAACTTCTTTGCCTTTGCCTTTAGTTTTAATTTCAGTTTAGTGAGAGTTTTACAGCGCCCGCAACTGTTTAAGGTCATATGAACACGCAAACCGTGCCGTAAGCAACATTTCGGAAAATTCTCAACTTTCTGGAAAGCGTTATGCTCAAGCTGCAATTTTTTCACCATTTTAGGCAGATACTGTAACTTTTTTCATGTGGGAGAAGTGAGGGAAAACTTGTGTAAAGTGTCTTTCTCAAAGACACATCACGTTTACGAGTCAGTTAGTAATAAATGTGTCACAACTGGACTACCGATACGCGTGGGTATGGATGCATATTTAGATAGCATTTATATTGTACATGCAAGCTAACCACCACCCCAACCCCATCCTCCCCATCCTTCTACGTGCTGTACAGATAATTGATAGTGCCTGGCATAGAGTCATTTTCACGGTGTGCTTTTACGGGAATATCGAGGCCCCAATGTTTTTTAAAAAGACGTTAGCGTTGGAATCAGTTGTTAATATTCTCGAGTTCCGCCGCAAAAGATAATGCATATTGTGGATTTGCAACGTAGCGAGCGAGGGGAAGTACCCAATTTCCGAAAATAAATTGACAAGATTACAACAAGAGACAAAAAAAAAAAAGCACAGAACGGCGGAAAAATCGCCAGTAAGGGATTCGATGATAAAGATTAGCAAGAACCAAGCGTGACGTGGCAGCTGGAAGAATTGCTGGCGAACAAATTGTGCTGTTAGGAGAAGGACGATCCGGCACTCCGCGGCACAAGACTCTTTTCAGTGACCGAGGGAGTTCTCATAGTCTCGTCATGGTCTCACCGTCTCTGTTTCTGTGGTGGAGTCCATTTGTCGATGCGAGACGCCATGCGTGGGACAGGTCCCATCCACTAGGGCAGTGATGACCCCCCGCTGACCGACTGCAGCTCATGTGGCACAAAGACTGGAGCTTCGAAAAAAAATTGCCTGTGAAATGAGATCTCTCTCTCTCTCTCTCTGTCTCTCTATGTCTGTCTGTCTTCGTCTGTCTGTCTGTCTGTCTGTCTGTCTGTCTGC